GGAGCTTCGCGTCTTCAGTTGAAGCTCTGAAGCTTTGCGTCTTCGGAGCTTCGCGTCTTCGGCGGAAACATCGGGGACCGCACCGCACTGCCGACGCAATGTATATTTCCTAAATGCCATTCCAATTCAAAGTGGATGCAATTTTTAGGTAGGTCATGTTGCTTCGCTAACTTTACCTCCACCTTGATGATTCCCATCCTCCTGGTAATTGTTGCCTTTTTGGTTTCTTCAACCTGGCTGGAAACCTCGGTCCCGAGTCCGAGGATCTCCTCCACCATATGTCGATTGAAGATACATTGGATGGAGATTGGCACGAGGGTTCCCGGTTGCTCACAGGCCGGGGGGAATGCGCCAACCAACACCTCAATGGTGCATACAACCCACACAAAACCTTGTGAGGTGTGGGCAATGGTTGGCTCAGGCCATAGTTTGTCCCCATCCAGATGTAAGCTGGTCAAAAGAACTTGGACACGTGCTTGCAGACGGGCTGTCAGGGATGGACATACCCTATACCGTGGTAGAACTCTGTGGGCTCATGAAGTTCCTATGAGATTTCGAGTCTTTGCTCCCAGTGAGGATCCGCCTCGATTAGTTGTAGCCTCCTCTAGGAACCTCCGTACAGCCGAAGAGCTTAGAGTTTTTTGCTGGAATGCAGGCAATGTCTCGTCTATGACGAATGGATTCTTTGGAGCGATCAATGCGGCTATGACCTCCTGTTCATTCAGGAGACAGGCTGGACATTTTCCAATCAGTGGCAAACTGCCAATTGGACCTGTATTCACACTGCACATCGTCGTGCTTCACAACTGTTGATGATACGACGTGCGGTTATCTACTCTGACAAAGTGGCTTACAATGCCATCATCCCTGGGAGATTGGTACACCTCCGGTTGATGCTCTATTGCATTCATGACATATTCAGTGTATATCAACATGCTTGGAACACGGCTCGCCATAGGGCTGGTTTGGTCCATGACCGTGCAGACCTTTGGATACGCCTTGGAGAGAGCATTCGACATGTCCCCAGACGCCATATGTTGTTGGTTGCTGGTGACTGCAATATTCCATTAGACAGAGCACGTCCTTTCGTTTGCACCCCAGATGCCAAATTCAGTCGTGCCTTGCAAAGTGATAACACAGCATTTCCATTTGCTCATGTCACGTTGTAGCAGCTCATATGTGATTGGAGTGATAGTCAGCCATTCACCAATGCATTGTGCAGTCCATGATCCGTATGTCTCCAGTTAGAACGCTACTCCAGTATTGATCACAAAAACACTTGTGCTATTTGTTGGCAGCAAACTCAGGTCACCATACCGGTCTTTGTGAGTCCTGCGGGCCTTCAGTTGCAGTGGGTGCCATACATCGTTGTGGCAGGAATGACCCACCTCGGACATAATCAATATCTATATATCTTCTATGGATCGTGCCCTTTGCTGACCGTCACCGTAAGACTTAGAGCCGCCCAATGCCTTGCCTTTCACCAGACCCAATAGCCATGATTACTGACAGATTAGCACGCTAAGAGACACTTGTCACGATATTTGTTTGACCGCCAATAGAATATATTGTATTTCAAATATTAGCTTTTACAATAAATTCATTTCAGAAATGTAGACCAATTGATTGTGGAAAGATTCATAATGTATCCGACTAAAATTCCCCGCCAGGTTAGGCCAGTTCGTAATTTTATGTAATTTTAGCAATCATGTGTTTTGATATTTTGTTAAAGACAACTTTGGTCTTAAATGTTGATTTCCACCGATACAATGAAGCAGCTACACAGCACGGTGTGGCAATGCAGCAACCCAAAATATGCGGTTTATCGATGTTGGTCCACATCGTGCCACGAAAGCCTCGGCCTCTTGCCAGCTAACGTCTACTAGGTTTTAAACCAAAGAGAAAGGCAACTGAACGATGTCGGAGTGCCATGCATCCTGTTTGTTCACATGCTTAAACTATCTTAAACTAAAACTCTATGCCCTGACTCCCCTCTTCACGAAACCCAATGCCTGACTACAAAACTCTAAATTCCAACAAGTCCTCCCCAATCCTTGGCTTTGCCATGGACTGTCCTCAAGGACAGGGCCAGCCGGCCAGCCCTCTCTGGAGGAGCTCTCATTAACGGTCAGGGTGTGCTGCTAGCGGCCTCGGACGCAACTAGCGAAGAGACTGAAGCATCAAAACTGTTGCTGTAGAAGGCGTAGATATTTGGAAGTCAGACTGCAGCTGTGATGCTTTCAATGATGAGAGTGTGCTTCACTTCGATTCACAACTATTGAAACTTTTGGCAGCTGACACGCTCCATCACACGTCAGTCGTGGTGACCAAGTTTGAAATGTTGCTCTCGGGAAGTTTTTGTTCAACGTCCTTCTGGCGGTCATGGCGTGTCCAAGCGCCAAGCTATTGTCTCTTGCTTGGACGTGAGAAGCGGACATGTGGAATATCCTGCCGCAATGTACGACAAAGAAAGATCTTCTCCAGAGACTCCAAGGGTCCAAGAGATTTCAAGTGCGACGGAAGCAAATAGAAGGCATTCTGATTGGTCCCACCTGAAACACGTGAAGGCCCGGTCTCTGGCCATAGTCGACTCAAAGGTCACCCTGCAGGCACGGTTCAACTGGCTCTACCAATGATGATTCAACTGAAATGGCTGTGGGTCAAAAAGAGAAAGATAATACGTTGGTTGACCTACCTGGGAGGTTGTTCGCTACATGGTGGACCAGGGCTCCAGGGATTGACACATGCCCACATACTCCGCCTCATCACTCGGAAGGAACACAGCCACAACAGATTCGCCTGACTTCATCTCCCTTCGAGAAGAGCGACAGTGTTGTCCTGCGTTTTCTTTCGAGCTGCGCAGGCATCATGACTATGTATACTAAAGATTATTCAGCCTTCGAAGGAGCTTATCTTCCTGGTGTTCTTCCCTTTTATGGAAGGTTGCATCTTCAAGTAAGGATGAGCAGACTAATTACCAATTGCTAGCGTCCAAAAAGCAAACATTGGACGTTAAACAATAGCAGAGTCATGCTTTGTTTAACGCCCACCGATTGCATCAGCGACGCGGCTCCATCGTTTCACTCTGCTCTCGGCTCTCAGCGCCTGGGTTGTGCGTCTCTTCCCTCTTCAGTGTCCACTTTTGAAATCGACTCCACCTGGACACTGAAATCCTGGCTCCTAGTAGCGTCCTTTGCTCCTAGTAGCGATGCCAGGAGCCCCTAGTAGCGTCCTTTGCTACTAGTAGCGTTCTGTTCACAAAATACCACTTCGCACCACTCCCAAGTGAGGCCATGCCGGCCATGCCTTCGTGTTGAACGAAGAGTATCTCATCCTAACTATGTTTTTAGCTCGGGGAGGGGCAGGCCGCTGAAGGTAGCTAGTAGTAGCTAGGTAGCTAGGTAGCTAGTAGCTTAAGTAGCTACTACTTGGGACGCAGGGGGGAGCTTCCTTGAAGAAGCGCCGCACTGATCATTTGGTTCCTAGATTTTTAGGAAAACTGGACTACAGTTAGGATGGGATACTATCAACTTCTTGTTGTCTTGTCAATAACTCTTTCGTGAGCCATGCCTCCGAAAATGGCAGGACAATCGTCGCCGCAACACCTACGCAATTTATTGAATCACATCCAATGACTAGGTGAATTTAGTTCCCTGCCAAAAAACAAATCTGGGGTGTCGGAGGCAGTGAAGACTTGCGGCTAGAATGCAAACGCAATGAAAATATACTTTGTGTTACTGAATGTTACTGCAACACTTTTCCTCTGTGCATGCTTGGTGCATCTGGGCGTCTTCATGGTTCAATCTCAAAAACAGACCCCAGCAGCCTTCACCTTGCCAGAATTCCACCTGGGGTAGTCGGGGCAGCACGAGACGTAAATTGACAGAAACTCTTAGGAGTCTGCGTGTATTTGTTGTGAGTTTCAAGAATTGACCTGAATGTCTACTAGATAATCTCAAATTCAAAACATCTAGTAATCTCGTAGTATTTAAAACATTAGTAACTTAGTATCCATCAATTACAGAAAAACATCCCACCATGTCCCACCTGCCGAAGCTTGCGATCCAGCCGCAAGGTGCCCTTGCAACCATATTCATCTGTCAAATCGTTCTTAAATCGTCTGATCCTTCACATTATGGGCATTCAGCTGCCAGATCCAGAAACAACTGCAAAGCTCTCAAGCAACCATTGCATCGCTTCGCTTGACATGTACAAGTGGGTGGTGCCTCTTCAGGGCCTCCTTCCGATTCGTTGGTCGCTACCTACGGGCTGCCCAAAGCGGCTGAAGTTGTTATGGTAAACCCATCATCAGTCACCCTGTTTACCCCTCATGATTCATCTCACAGCAGCAAGGGTTTCGAAAAGATCAAAAGGCCTGGAGTCCGAGAAAACCGTGGACAGTAGCACGACCTTGTTATCCCTTGCTACTAACTCAATAGCACAGGTACTTGACCCCACCTGGACAGAAAGGCCATTGCTCACCACATCATGTGCGAAGTCGCGGATGAGGCGCTGCGACAGGTTCACAGATTGGGCTGAGCTTTCTGCACTCCGGACTTTCAGTTTTTGTTGGTTTCATGTTGATGAAAATAGCATCTTATATAAATGGTCTTACAATAATATGTTCAAACTCAACAATGCCATCGACCGGCCCTGACCAACCTCTAGTGCCACTAGTCACATGTGTGAATCCAAAGTAAAGGAGTCACAAACCAATGCTTCCAGAGTGCAGCGGGCCTGCAGCCTTTGTTTGGCCAACTCTTTGTCATCCTGGCTGAATCAATGCATTGAGCATCCGACCCGGTTGGACCTCTAAATGAAGAGAAGCACCAAGAGCTGACTGCTGCGCTCATTGTGCTGCTTTCAGTGGGTGATGTTCATTGTGTTTATGACTGGCCCACGCTGCCCCATAGGCAGCGAATAGATGAATGGAGGAGTCGGAAGGGAATGCACTAGTCTAGGGGAAATAGATTCAGTATGTAAAAAAACAAGGCATCCTTAGTGAGATGGATCATTTAGATTCATTTATGGCATGCAAAACTGACATTCAAATTGTTGTATAATGCTTGTACAATCACTGCCTAGGGCCCAAGTGTCGAGGCTTCAGCCACTTTCGCTCCAATGAACCCATCGCCTGGCCAGCAACTGGCGGAGGAGCAGTGCTCCTGGCATGGCAAGACTCGGCGAGGGTGCTTCAAGGACTTCTGCGCAAAAAGTAGTGTTTTTTTTTTGTTTCGTAAGACTTAGTAGTCAAGGGTAGGGACACCTACGGCAGGTAGTAGTAACATCAACATCCAAGACCAAAGGCCCTGCAAGTAGCGAAAGCAGAAAACATGTGTTGTTGCCTTGTGAGCAATCCTTGCACATCAAGGTATTAACAAAGTGAAATCAAAGTCAACAATCATGCCAATGCCCACGCGTAGCTCTTTTCTTTGCCAGCCTGAGGGAAACTAACAAGCATCGATCACGAGCTAAGAGCTATATATATATATAGTTGATCCCCTGCCAAACATAAGATTTTTTGTGAACTGCCTGAAAGAGAGTTGCCCATGACCAACTGACTCAAGTTTGACCATCCCACAAGACCTAATGTTAATGGTGACATGTTGCCATGCTGGTCCAATGTTTTGTTCCCAGACCTAATGGTAGCGAGAGAGATCGATGGTCGCCCGCTAAGCCCCACACGGTCTCAACCACCATGTCCGGGACCCCGTCCTGCAACCGGTAGCGAAAACAAAATAACTTAACTTGGCATGTTGATGTGACATAAACTTGCCAGAAAAAAATGAAACAACAACAACACCGTTCGAGCACTCGATTGGTTTCCTCTGCAGCGTCGCTTGCTGTACAAAGCCGGGAGGAGTGCCTGCTTGTGCGAAGCATCGGAGGAAACTCTACAAAGGCAGGTCGGGGGTGAAGTATAGGAGGCCATCGCTACTAGGGTGGAATCGCTATTAGGTTGGAGGCCATCGCTATTACCCCAGACCACTGTGGAGCTAAGGGGGGACAGTGTCTACGAGAGGGAGGTCAACAAAATAAAATTGATGTTGGTTTTGGAAAAATGCAGGTTTTGTGTCCTCTTTGTTTTTCACACACGTTCCGGAATATGTATGAAAGGCACCAGGACATTCCATAAATTCATTGTACTAGTATGCAAGAGAGTGGGTATACTCTGATCGAAGCAAATATGTTTGGGGAGAATGCACATACAGTAAGGGGTGACAGTGACAGGGCCAACAAAAAATGCAAAACATGCAATTCCAAGGACCTTTCATCTGCGCAACTTCTTCGTCCAGAAATCTGTGCGACAAGAACGGATTTATTTGGCAAACCATTCTTGCCTTTCCACAAACGTTGCAAGCATGTTTGCCTTTCGTTTTCCCTTGGTCAATTTCTTCGCGGCTGGGGATGATATATCTTGTCATCAGCCATCAGCCAAGTTTCTGGTGAGAACGCAGGTGGCCCTGTTTGTTTGGTATGGCTAGGAGGGTGCCTGAAGTCCCACAGGCCTCTCAGGAAACAGCAGCAATGTATGAAGCCATAGGATTCAAAAAAGATCTTACTGTAGGAACCATGAGGAAGGCTGGGAAATATATAACCGCAAATTTCTATGATTCACTACCTATCATTGCCATTCTCAGGAAGCTTGATTTCCCTGATAACGGCCCTCAGGAAGCACTTTTCTCTCAAGGAAACATATGCAGGGGGCGAGGACGTCGATTCTGAATCATGTCAACGGCCAAGCAAAAAAGTTGTGTATGTATTAATTCAGAAAAGTTGTCTTGGAATTTGGAATGAAACTCGGAGACGAGGGCATGTGAACTTTTTTGGTTGTACAGCCCCCAACACAATTTCATTTGGGACTGGGTGATGGAGCAAGGCTTCTTTCTTTGCACATGTCACTCAATAAACAATCCCGGCAAAAGGAGACAAAGATATTCTGCATTCTGCGCCTCTAGTTCCAATCGTGCTTGAATCTCTCCCCTGCAAGATTACATGACAAACAAGCCAGTTCTGCTCGTCGCTGCATGTGCAGCAACCAAACATTGGCGTAAACCGTCCGGAGGCAAGCACCTCAGCAAAGATCCCGCAGGCCACAAGCAGAAATGCTACTTCGGAACCTCACTGCCACAGTGCGTTTCGAACGCTCAAAATTGCCAAAAAGCCTTTAACATCTTTAACGAACCTCTAGAGTGACTTTGCCAAGCCACTCAGATATCCTCTGTGCAGTCCGACCATTGCTATGTTTGAGCCCGAACGGCTGTACAATTGAAAGCTCCAGAACGGCTAAAATGAAGCTGAGCATCAGGCAAGTAGTCTCCAAGTAGTTTTGTGCAAGTACATGCGACTACCAAATGTGCCCCTTTCACGTCAAACTCCTTCCATCAATTGCTCTGCGCCCCTTCACTTTGGAAAGGCAAACTTCAACCTGTACTCTCAGCCAATACAATCTAACTTTGCCCTTGCTACCCCGATGCTTCTTCTCGGTTGTCCCTCACGTTCCAAGAGGTAGGCGAGCAAGAAATCCACTGCCGCGCACAATGGGATCGGAGACCGGTGCAGCTTCCCTCCACTGGTCAGAGGACGAGCTGCTTCAATCGTGCGGAGTGTTCATGAGCCCGTACCAGCCCTTGGGCTCTTGTTCGTAGCTCTTGGGGAATCTAAGACTCAGGCCCTTGCAGCTGCAAGGTGTTGACTATGTGGAGTCCTACGCGTCTACTCCTTTAGGCTTTTGGACTTGCTTTTCTTCTGCTTCTTTCCACTGGATTTAGTGACCTCTCCGTTGCTCTCATCCAGCAAGCCATGCTGCTGGAGAAACTCGGTCGTGGCGTTCACAAAGAGCCGTTGCCACCGGACCTCAAGCCAATCTCGCAAGCTAGCGACTAAGTCAAGTCGGATGCTACTATGATAGAAGACATTATTGGATCCGATTCGTTGCATTCCTTTGAATCCTAATTATATACAGTAAGATAGAATACGGTACAATACCTTGTCTTGGCCTAATGGACCTGTTCTTCAATATGATTTCTTCATCTTTCTTCTAAGGGTCACCCGGACTCAGCTTCCAGCATCAGCGAACTCTGTGGCAAGCTCTTCCGCGTCACACAGAAGAAGGCTGTTGGCATCTCGAGCCTTGGACAGAAAGGAGTCCAGCTCACTGGACATGGATTACTGCCCCTCGTAGCTTCTTGTTCCTAGTAGTAAGGTCAGGAGTCCCTAGTACAAGTAGCGTCCTTGTTCCTATGAGTCCAAGGTGCATCCCTGATGAAAACGAGAATTCCTTCTAAACGGATGTTCATCCTACCATTTCGCTCTGGGTCCTTGAGTCCTTGATCTAATCGCCAAGCAGCATAAAGGAAGGGACAGGATTTGTGCATAGTTCCCCAGTGATGTTCCCTCCGAGCTCGGATCACGCAGTCCCAGACGTGCTTCAAGGCTTTTCGTGCAGCCAGCTGTCCTGGTCAGTGTTAAGTTCAGAAATTGGAAACGTGGGTTTCGACAACTCGAACGTTGGTTCAGAAACTAGCAACGTGCTCTGCATACCGTGTCTTCAAACAGTTACCACATATGAATGCCACGTCAACACATAGTTTCTGAGCCCGGGCCATTTCTCAACTCTACTTTACTTTACAGTACTTTGTTCATCTTTGTTCTAGCTGGTCCTTTCAGCAGTTGATCCACCTCTGACACTGCATTCATAGCCACGCACATGGCACGGCCTAGGACAAAAGGCCCCATTTCGAAACGCCCATCACAAACAGTGATCACTTGCAAAGGGCAGCTTCCAGGCTGCTCTGTGTCTTCTTCAGTCACCTCTTGGTCGTCAGCCGCCTGTCGCGCGATCGCTTGGTTCCAGACAAAGGCGATGTGGCGGAGATCTTCCATTAGACTCTGCACTTTTCCCTGAAAATCCTCAGAGAGCTTGAACAAAGCCGGCATCCTCAACAAAGCAACCATCACACTGCAAGCAGGGTAGCTCACCCCACGCGTGCTTGCATCTTCATTCTTCTCGGATGTGCGCTTATCATTCGAAAGATCTAAAGGTGGCACGGCAACAAAACCGGTGAAAATGTCACCTTGCTTCCAGGCATTGAGAGACAAGTCAATTGTTTCGCCCAGTGCTTCAGAAGCAGCACCAGCTTGAGACAGAAGTGTCTGCAACTGAGAAAAGCAAGTCGGATTTTCAAGTTTCATTTCGTCCAGCACATGCCGAATCCATCCTCTCCTGCTCCATTTTGGGGTTGAGTCCTGCATGTAGCAAATCTGCGCCAGTCTTGCAAATTCAATCAGTTCATTCTTCCGAACCTTCAAGAGCGGTCGTAACACCGTGACACCCAACGTTGTTCCGCTGGCGGACATACCATCAATATGAACGATGTTGCCTTTCCCCAGCTCTGCCAGCCTGTTTTCGTCAGCATCATCTTCGTGGTGTGCGACAAGCGCTGCTCCTGGAACTCCAAGGTGTTCTAAGCAAAGATTGTACATCCTGAAACGGATTTGTTTTGACTTCTCCTCATAGTGTTCTCGGGAGATGCCAGTGCGCACATTCCCGTGAGGCCTACGAATCTGCGGCCTGTAGCTCTGTAAATCAACTCCCAATTCAGAGCAGGACCACTGCACCCAGCCTTCTTCATCCCGTGCATCATCACGATTAGGGTGGCACAAGTGAAGGGCACACCAGCGAAAGCGTTGCTCAGGAGGAAGTGTCCGTTGCAGCAGCCAAAGAAGGCAACAAGTTACCATGCTGTCCACACCGCCTGATAGACTTAGAACAATGCCCAGGTCTGCGCGCAAATATCCCAAATCCTCTAGTTGCTTCCGGAGCTCCTTGACCAAGCAGTGACCTTCAAACATGGACAAGTCAGTGCCTTTCAACGGACTCAAAAAGGGCAAGCTTGCGCCATTGTCATTTCCTGCATATTCGTGACATCTGCTATCTAATACCGATAGCCTTGGAGGATGCACTGGCTTGCCACGCAAATGTATTGGTTTGTCACTGGAAAGAGCTGCTTTCAAATACTTCTCCACTCCAATGGCCTCCATCGCGTCGCGTGTCTCTTCAAGAAAGCGCAAGCAAAGTTCCTGGTGACTCTTGTGACCTTTCGCCGCTTTTGCCGCTTCTGTTTCAGCCGTTTGGTCTCCTCTTTGTGGTTTACCCAATAACCCTCCTGCTTCTGCGAATGCTTTCAACAGGGATAGCAACATATGTTCGGAGAGCTTCAGAGAAAAGGCTTCACGGGCGTGTCGCAAGACCAGGCTTAGGAAGCAAAGCTCTGGCACTGAACCCAGTTGCAACAAGCTTCGAGCAGTAAAGCCCACATCCAATAGCACTGACAGAGCTAGAGGTAGCGCAACCGAATCACAAGCGACTTTGAAATTAGTTGCCTCCACTATTGCGTTGCCCCTCTGCATGGACAGGTAGTTCCTTGAAGTCTGATCCAAGAAAATGGCCATCTTCATGCGCAAGCGGGCGGTGGCGGCAAGATCCGGGTGGGACTGAGGGAGAGCACAGCGCGTTCCAGCAACTCCTGCCAAGGTTCGGGCCGGCTGGACACAATCTGCTGCCAGTGTTTCGAAGAAGCTTCTGTAGCTGGCCTTCCTCGCGCCAAACCAAAAGCCAGGAACGACCAGTCCGTCTTTGGCGTCCTCTGGAAACCAAGTCTTGTAGAAGATGCTCAGGCCATGAAGCCACGATGCTTCACACATCTCAGGTCAGTCGGTTCTGCAAGTCTGCTGCTCTCATCATGGAGTCAAGCCACTCAAAGCCCTTGCAAATATTTTGAAGTCTGAACTCTGAACAGATCGAAAATAGAATATTGAATAACAAAGTTCGGTCATGAGTGAAGGTATTTCGGCATTTCTGTGAGAAGAAGCATGTCCGTGAGAAGACGAGCTCTAAAGCTGTCCAAGCCACTCGGTTGCATTGAAGCAAGTTACTGTACACAGGAATCATGCAAAATGAAAACATGCAAACAAAACTAGCAAGTGTCTAATTCGACCGAATGCCTCTGAACACTCAACAGACTCCCCAAATATGCATTGTTTTGTTCTATATAATTAAGTCGCTTGCTTGATCGTTTTGCAGACTGCGACATCGCACATATCACTTTTGCACCTTCCTGAGTGAGCGCTTGCTGCATGAAGTCTCAGGGAAAAGCAATTGCCGCAGGAAATCAGTGATGGCCGGCTCTAAGTGCTTGCCTGGCACTCTGACAACATTCAAATGACTTTGAAAAGTAGAACTCTTGAGGATCTTGCTTTGATCTCAATGCCTTCGAGAAGAACACAGCAGCCTTTGAAAGACTTTGATATCGATCTATCAAGCTTTCGTAAGGCACGCAACAAGGGTGCACAGCAAGGCGTTGTGTAGAAAATCCAATTAATTGACAGTTGTGAAACTGCTGGAAAGCAGATAATCGACCCATACTGTAGTAGTAACATGGTGCAGAACCCATCTATGCTTGTGTGTAACAATGTTCCAGGTGGGCACCCGAACCCGCCCGAAGTCAACGCATCAAGTTGCACAGCAGCAGCGGATGTGCAGCGGCACAGAAGACATCTTTGCCAGCCCCTCTCGCTCTTGCCGATCCTTTCCCCTCCCTCTTCTCCCTTTTCCTCTTCCCGCAGCTCCTCCTCTTTTGCAACCTTTGCTTATTCATGGTGTGCAAATAGGACTACTTGCCTAATAAAGGATCTGGCGATCCTTCGGCCTTTGTGACAAAACGCAAGGACTCTGCCTTTCCACACCCAGGAGACTTAAGTCATGCGATATGCAAAGACTCGGACACAGTGCAAAGATTAAAAGACCTCCATGGACTGTATTCCAACAGTGCTCCAACATAGGATCGGCAGTCGAGATGCCTTTCCCGAAAAGTAAATATATACGACTAGGAACAAGAAGCTACTAGTAACAAAGGATTCCTGTTCACTGGCACGGCCAGTTTCAGTTTGTGGTAGAGTAGCGCTGTACCAATTTCCCGGCAAATTTCATGGGCTTCATTGGTCTTAGCACAGCAGCCACAGCAAGGCGCCGTTTCGTGGTTGGTTTATATAGAGCATGCAATGAAGACTTGATTGTCTTGTCCAAACAGCATGTAGTTTGACTTCGCAACATATCGAATCTCCTCAGCATGCTTGCACTGTTTCAGGCAGCCTTCTTCCTCCTTTGGGGAGCTCACCGCTACCATGGGAGAAGGCAGCTCGGCCAAAAGCCTATCATGGCAACGTGAGGTATGTCAAAAGACATAATGCTGCATACTGCATCATACTGCAAGATGTATAAAGGGAAGTTGGAGTCTAAATGCGCTGCTCGACAGAGGAATGCAAGGTTTCTTCTGTTCATGAACTTCAAGCCTCACATGCAGCCTTTACCATCCTTTCAGAGTGCCAAGTCCACCTTTGAATACTTCAAGAGGTTCGAAATCCCTTGCAGCGCCTGTGCAAGGCCTCATCCACCGAGTGCTGTACAGACCTCAGGATGGCATCATTGATTCTTCCACCGTGTTCCCGATTCATAGGCTTTGGAGAAATCATAACGGACACCACTCCTGTGTCCTTGAAACGCATCAGGGCCGGACAATGTTGCACCAATCAAGAGGCGTATCCTCCACGCCATCGTCATACCTTCAAGAGGACATGTTGTAGAGTCTGCGCTTCACTCAGACCAATGTGTTTTGTCACTTGCAATCAAGGAACTATGTGGCAGCGCCAGCAGTACACACAGCATCTTGCGAAGACCTTAATGATTAATGAGACTTTTCGTTGGCAATGCAGGTCCCTTCACCTACTTTGGATGAGAAGCCTTCGAAGCACGAAAGACTCAAGGGACCAGGCTTTCTTTGGCCTCACTTGAGCAGGTCAAAGCCTGAGCTAGGCATCTAGTGATTCAGCGACATGTTGGCCAAAACAAATCATTGGAGAGACCCAGGAGGGGAGAGGAGTGGGATCCTTGATACTGGCCTCTCCACTGTCGGTCAAATCATGGCTGTGCGTTTGGTTCATCCTGGGAGTGTCCGGGACGACTTTTGGTTTCCTAGAACCTTGGCATTCGTCCTCGGGCCCTGCCAGGGTATCATGCTGGGTATGCTGGGTGCCTTGTTGGTCTTGACCTGCAAGATTTGCAAAATGGCTGCCAACGCCTGGCGACTGCGGGGATGACATGATTACACCAGGAACCTCCTATCGATCTCACAGGCCTCCTGCTGTGTTTCTAAGCTCCAGCATTGGTTCACATCATTACGAACCTTGTCAATGACGCTTGCTTGAGTACACACCGATGACACTAAGATCTCGATGATCTCAAGGCAAATCTCAGGGCAGCACCAAGATCTTCTCCACAATCTCAACAATTCCGTTGTAAAGCAAAGTGCTCAAAGGAGCAGCCTGTGAGTGCAATGGAGCCAGGGTGACCATGGGTGCCTAGTCTTCTTCCGATTCAAACTACTTTTTCTCACATCAAATACTGCAAAGTGACAAGTGAAAAACATAACATGGAAGTTCATGGCAAAAACAAAGCGAAACAACTAGCACTGCACCTGCAGCAGCATCAACAACTGGGACAGCACCTCTTTCATAGAAGAGGCATGCAAAGCTACCTTCCGAAGAAGTCAATTCTATTCGTCTGTTCTGAGTCTGTGCCACTTGCACTGTTAGTCTCCCCTAAGAGTGTTCCTTTCAAAGCTGTGACAGCGCTGTGCTTGTAGGGCCGAGCACCTGGACCAGGACCTCAGCGCTTTGGACCTTGATGCGACGCTCGAAGTCCCTCGAAGCGACTTGCTCAACGTGGAAACCTACTACTAGCAAGGACGCTATTAGTAGTTCCTGGCCTTACTACTAGGAACAAAAAGCTACTAGTAGCAAGGACGCTATTAGGTGGCCATCGCAAGTAGGTTGGAGGCCATCGCTAGTAGTAACAAGAAGCTACTAGTAGCTTTCGGTGTGGAGCGTGCCTTGGATTCTCGCGACCCATTGATCAGCTTCAGCAGAAAATCTAACCTAAAATGCAAGAGCCTAGTGACCAGTGCCAGAATGTAGTTTGGGTTCCGATCCCATGTCTTTTATTGAAACGGCCGAAACGTTGCGTGACCGCACGTTTTACTGTCAACGATTTGCTTCTCCGCAAGCTTCCGAAGCCAAATCAAAATCATAACCTGCGCTGAGGTTACGTGAAGTGCCCTGAGCTATCATGGCCTCACTTCTTCTTGTCCAACGCAGGCAGCTTTGTCGCCAGTACCATGTCCACCGTCTTGTCGCGGGCAGAATCCAATTCATCCAAGGCTTTGGTCACTGCATCTGCCTTCATAGTTGCGCCATCTGCGATTGCTACAATCTCACCACCTGCGACTTGAGTTTGCACGGAAGGAATGTCTGCAAAATTGAGGTGTATTGAAGCCGTTGTCAAGTGAAGCCAAACATTACTTCAAAAACCAAAGTAAACACCAGTTGTTCAGCCCAGTCGCTGTCCAATTTCCCTTGCAATTCTCCTAGGTCCGCAAGCTTGGCAAGCTGCTCCTGCTCCAACTTACCTGTCGCCGCCATGTCATCGTTCAAGCCGTAGAGGATGCTGTTGTACTCCTGGCACACTTTGACCATTTCACGTGTATATATATATATATATACACAATATAATATGATATAACTATATATACAGATTATATAGGGGTACGTTGGGGGAGCTGACATGAGTTGGGTCTGTTCGACTAGTCTCAATCACTTGTTCATATTCTGTCCGTGCTTGATCAATTGGCTTGATCAGTTGTGTTACACTTTGTTTGATCAGTTGTTTAGAAGAAGCAAGAAAAGAATAGCACCCCAGGCTTCTCCTCGCACTCCAATGCATACTTGCGCTCAATCTCTGGCATCTGAGCCAAAGCCTCATCCATGGACAAGGCCTTGGCTGCGGCCCAACGCTCGGTGTGCTCCTCTGCGTAGGTGGCATAGATGTCATACGCAGGATCTCCCGTCTTGAGTCGTCGCAGGAAGGCTTCTTTGGAGGTCTCACCTGTCAAGAAGAACTCAAAGAGGACAAGAGAATCAAGCTAGTGGCCAGAAAGTGACCAGCAAAGCAAGCTCTCCAAGGCAAGAGAGAGAGAGAGAGACATGAAGAGCAAAACAAAAAAGGCAAACGACTTGGCCAGGCCTGGTGCAGTGAACCAATTTCCTCCCAAGCCCTCCTTTCGCGAGCTCAAGATCTCTGTGAAGGCCTCGAAGGCTTGGGCATACCCAGCCTCAAACTTGCGTCCCGTCATGGTGGCATGGTCGGCCAAAGATTGAAAGCATTCCACGGGGTCCAGCATCGACAAAGCCTCTGCCGGCTTGTAAAAAAGACAATTCACATCGCCCCCGAGGCTGAAGAAAGTACCCTTGCCGCCATCCATCTGGATAGCCCTGTAAAAGGCTGTGCCCGTTTGCACTGGCACGTAACTGTCACTGAAAAGGATGAAGTTACCCATGAGGCGTCCGGCACAAAGCTCGGTGGCGGTAGACTCCTTGGCGATCAACTTGGAATAGTAGGCCTCACCATCATGCTCCATGTCATGAGGGTGGAAATCATGGAAGGCCTCACGAGACCAGGTGGCTTCGTGTGCCTGACGCTTCCGGCGCTGCAGCACATTGTAAATTTTGAAGCGTGTATCATAGATCTCGGCATACCATTTCGTTGGCATGGTTTCAGGGAAAGTCCTTGCATCACCTCCTGTCTTGGTCAGGTAGAAGATCATATGCTCAATCAAAGGACCACGGAATACATCGTAGTACTCAAAGGATGGTCGTTGGTAGAGCAGCTTGTTGTTCTGACGAGTCGTTCCACGACCATCAAAGGTCTCCCAATTCCTCTTCAAGACCGCTTTGTTCTTGGCATCATAGTCCTTGCTCTCAGGGTCCTCTACAGCACTGGCCAAGTGGTTGTGATAGAAGTGATGCTTCTCCACGAAAGCCTGCCAGTACTGGTCCGCATCCAACCATTCAGATTGGGAGAGCAAAGAGATGGGAGGGTTCTGAAAAGAGATCCATAAAGCACGGGCACCATTCTTCAGAATCTGCTCCGATTTCTCAACTGACTTCTGGCAGCTTTGGACAGAGGCATCAAAAAGTTCCCAGCCTTCTGTCTGCTTTTTCACAGCTGCGGTATGGTCCTCCTTCAGGACTTGCTCCAGCAGCGTTGACTGCTGCTCATGAAAGCTCTTTAGGCATCCCAAGACTTCTTTGTTGCTGATGCGTGCATCCCACGAAGACCAGTCAATGGCCTTTGGTGGGGCAGCGGTTTCCACCATGGATGTCACCTGGCTGTCACGTACTCGGAGCTTTCGGAACTCCTCCTGGTTCTTCTCACCAACCGCATACTCCTGGAGCATGTGCCATCGGTCCCTCCTGGGGAGGGCGCGGACACCACGGATGCCACGACGCATCATGGCGGTTGCCGGGCTGTGTCGCACGAGTGCACCTGGCCCGACCGGCAGCTTGAGCCCAGTGCGAAAGATCAGAGAATCTTGAAGAACCCTCACCTAACAGCAAAAAGAACCTAATAGCAATGGCCTCCACCCTACTAGCAATGGCCTCCAACCTACTAGCCTCTTGTTTCTTCAGACCAGGGAGGCCGGTAAGTGGTTCCTAAGGTCCTAGACTGTTAGTGAAACTTGACTTGCACCTGTTCTTTCAGACGGCTTTCGCTCTTGAAAGGAACAGCAGCTGTTCACTCGACTTGCAACCTTGGATGCAAAGAACTTAGGCATCTGGCTCAGCGGCCAGCGCCAAGCCAGCTGCAACACAGCGCTTCTTTGTGCCCTGGCACTAAGCCGGGGTCATTAATTAAGGTGTTTCTTGCGGGCTCTTAGGTTGGCCATCGCTAGTTGGTGCCCTTCCTCACCTGCGCCTCAGCCACTTGAGTTTCTGTCTCCACCTGTCAAAAGGACAAGTTGGTTCAAGTTGGTCGTTTTTCCAAGTGTGACACGTTCTTGTTGCATAGTGCATTCTTGTGAAGTATATCATCTCTACCAAAGACAGCAAGACATCAGTGGCCTGCAAGCGCTTCGCCAGTTGACCGAAGCATCGAGTCTGCTCCTGCAGTTGGCCGTCTCATGCTCTTCCAATGCCCCCACTCCAGGGTGCGAGCTGCACCCTATGGTGTCGGCATGGGGCAAATAGCTTGGGTTGTTCGTGATTTTTCGATAAGGTTGTTCGCACAACAAACACAAGCTGACCAGTTCAACCAGGACTGAGAAACCGCACCCACAGCATCGCGGCAACGGCTCCAGTGGCCGCCGGCCTAGCTTTCACCAAAAATCAGAGGTTCAAACTCACACTCCCAATGCCGCTGGGCCCACCTTGACGTCGCCTCGGCCTGGCACAAGGCACAAAGGTGCCAAAGGGCAGCTGAGCATTGTTCCAACCACTTGAACAGCTCGAAGTATGCACCCGGGGGCACCTCCCCATCATCAGCATACGATGCAGGCCTTCCAAGCACACACTGTTCGTTCCAACCGGGCTCTTGGATTCTTGGATTGTGGCCATGGTTCCCATATGATCACAGAGTTTTCCAAGTCTGCTCACACAAAAACTACTGACAGGTGCGATGCACAGGTGCAATGGAGTGAAATGATTGAGCCCCTCAAGGGCCCAAACGTTGCAATGGCTTGTTCACAAGCTAAGGCCTCAGACGCACATTGCCACCAAATGGCATGCTGCACTCTTCAACGCTTCAAGGGAGGGTGTGACTAAACTTGATATGTGGATCACTGTGAATCTCCTTGATGTCTTCCCCCCACCCTTTTCCGGGAGTCCCTTCTGCACAAACCGAGTCGCAAGTCTGCACTTCTGGGGTAAGATACGCTGTGTGTGAACATGCATGTTTGAACGAGTCTAGAATTCCAGAAGAGACGGACTGCAACAAATTTGCAAAGCAAGTGCTCAGTGGCCCGCCAAGGCTTTCAGTGCTCTGCCTGTTCACGAAAAAGTGGCGTTCCTTCTATTCCACAACATAGACAATTTCTGACGTCAGAGCCTCACAATGTGGTTCTTGCTTTTCCACGCGCTTATAACTTGAGAAGACTTAAGAAGGATCGCACCTTTCCACAGAGAAGCTTAAGCACTTAAGCACGACAACATTGGCGAAAATGTTCAGCTGCCTATAGCCAAGAGCTGCGTGCCATCGTTGGCCACCCGGCTCTTCTCCAAATCATGGCCTCCCACGACTACACGGCAAAAAGGGATCCGGCTTGCAGTTCTGCGGCTCGTTTCCGGGTTCAAGTGTGGTGCCTGGCATCTTCAGCAAGGCAGTGACCTCTAGGATGAGGGTTCGGATTTGTTTTGGACCTCTCTTGGTATCTTTCTTGCCGACTCTGAGTTTCTCACAAGACGTCCCAATGACAACAGGACCTTTGGGCGGAAAACTGTCGATTCAAAACTGCTCAAGTTTAAGCTGACTTGCTCTTGTAATTTGTCAGAGTCAGAACTTTGAGGACATGTACTTTCTGCTGTGTGGCGAAACTTTAGCAACTAGGAGCAAGAAGCTACTAGTAGCTCCCGGCCTTACTACTAGGAACAAGAAGCTACTAGGAACAAAGGGCATCGCTACTAGGAGCAAGGACGCCATTAGTCGCTCATGAAGAACACAATTATTCTTACATTGCAACGTGACTGATGTCTTGGTGCTCTCTCAGCCGTGAGGTCTGTGTGGGCCTGCACCGAATGACGGGCACCACCAGGGCGCGCAGCCTCAACAATACTTGGTGCTGAAATCGGCTGATGGCCCTCACTGGGCTGATTTTGATCTCTACCTATGTGGGAAATTGGACAAAATTGGACTTTCCCTCTCTCCCTCTCTTTTTTTTGCTCGGTACTCCTTACACCCAATTCTCCTCCAGCCATCGTCCCTTGTGGAATTCGAACCATTCCGGATCTTAGTCTGTCAGCGGAGCGAATCGATGCCATACCAACTAGGCAACTGGAGTACCTCTCTCTCCCTCCCTCCCTCCCTCCCTCCCTCTCCCTCCCTCTCTCTCTCTCTCTCTTTCTGTCGCTCCTGAGAGCGTCTGCTGTTCAATCTGGTTCGGTAGACACCGAAAAAAAAAATCGAGGTGGCCTGATTGGCAGTCCATTCAGCAACCTGCAGCGAGAGTATGTATGCTTCTTGACTGTGCACTGACCATATCTAAGACTGCGGCAAGCTTTCTTTCTTTCTTTCTTTCTGTCTTTCTTTTTTTCTCTCTCTCTCTCTCTCTCTCTGCAGTTCATCCCAAAAACGTCTTGTTTAGCCCACAGCAGCGACATCTAGCAATTGAGGCTCGTTCTGAGAGTCTCAGAGCCACTCCTTCAGCTGCAAAGGTCGCAGCCTTGGCTTCAAACTTTCAAGTTGATTCTGGTTGGTTGGAGGCAGAGTCAGACAAAGTCCCGCACTCGCAACGCAGCTTCCAAGCAATTGATCACCTGGCCAAAGTATCAAATGATTGTCATCCACAAGCTGCAATAATAAATAAGTGAATCCCGGTACTGCCCGCACCTCGAGTAGAACCGGAAAGCTTCCAAGCTCTTTGGAGCCGGCTAAACTCATGATCCATGGCCTCCATACACACACCCATGCTGATGTTTGCATCTGATGTTTGCATGTACAAATTGATATAAATTGCGCAACAAACACTGCGGCAGCATCACTGAGCTCCAAGCAGTACATGCCCTCGGGCAAGGGCCCGCCTCGACAAATCGTCCCCGCCAGGTTCAGCTCTGCCTGGCATCGCTAGTAGTAGCTTCTTGCTACTATATAGTAGCTTCTTGTTACCAGTAGTAATGGCCTCCAACCTAATAGCGATGGCCTCCACCGTGCGTAGCTTCTTGTTTCGATTCCGTTCGTCGTGTCTTCCTTCGGCTTGACGTCGGCGCCTCCAGGGGCCAAAGCCCGCCGCAGCAGCCTCAAGAACCAAAGCCGCGCCTGCGGTCGCTAAAAATGACCCAACAAATAGCAACAGCTCTGTAAACAGCTCCTGCAAAGGCTTTCCTATGAAGAATTCTGAATTCGTTTCCACCTCTTGGCTAGAGTCCATATTGCCGGAAAGCCTCCATGGCACAAGCATCTTTGCATGAATTTACAGGTTGTGCCTTCCTCTGTCGGGCGATAATCAAGAAGCAGCATGTTTGACTAAGCCTCACACACCAGTTTCAGGAATAGGGGCACTGCCTAGCGTGGCGAGCAGAAACAAGCTGCAAATCTACAGAACCCGGAACGTACGAGCTCGCCTGGAAATCGGCCATCGGTTTCCCAAAGAGATACCTCCAGCTGACATCTACTGACAGGTACTAACAAACTCAACGACTTCAATCTCAGCTTCTTGGTTGAAAGGAAAGTGGAGGCTCGCAAGTCATGATCCATTTGGAATTTTGAATGACGCACTTGAAGCTTGCAATGAATGGCACTTTGCCAACATTTGATAGAGCATGTGCTGGGGCTGAATCAGAATTGGCCTCAGTGTTTGCTTGTTTCACACATTTTGGAGCTTTTCTTCTTACGAGTCCTCTGCAGTATTGGCAACCGTACATCATTGGCAACTGAGCTTAGAGCACGCACGCTGCAAAAAAAGGAAGCCGCCAGTCGTGGCAGAGTCGGAGGGAAACCATCCTTGATTCAGTATGCAAGACTACACAACTCACAGTTCACACCTTAATTTGTTCATATTTGTTCTTTTTGATTCTTTGGGCGTCTTGGCTTCATTTGTGTTTTGTGTTGTACTCAATCTCCACGCTAGTCTTGTGCTACATCCCGCGATACATCCGGTGCCTCTGGAGCTTCAATCCCATCACGCACGAAGCACAACAAACGAACCTTGGTACGACTGGAAAACTGATTTCATAGAATGTTGGATCAAGTTCCCCTGGTCCGTGGCCAGTTCCGGGAGCTCCCGAAAAGGCAGGCGTTTGTTCACCTCAAGTGCCAAGCAATCAAGCGGAATGTGTGTCGTCGTGTGCCTGGGTCAGAAGGGCCTTGTAGCCTAAGGCCTAATGGTCAAAATGATGGCTTGTTGCACATGGCCTCGTCCTTCTCGAAGCTGGTCACGTTCCAAAAGTAAGACATTGCAAGCACGATCGAGAGCGCCTCAATTTCCAAAGGCACGCGGCACAAATATTTAAATTTATATAGCTGTTTTGCTTCCCATGCAACCGCAACCTGTTCAAAGCCCTGCCTCGAAAGCACAAGCACGAAGCATCCCATTGCTGCCTTGCAAACACCAATCGTGCGACTCATGTTCGGCCCAAGAAGTGGACCCGTCGTTAACAGTGGCTAACATCCAAAACATGCTTTTCTAGCCCGTGGCCCTGCCTAAGTAGGCTCCTACTTAAGTAAGTAAGGAGTTTGTAGTTCGCTCCTAGTTAGGACGCAGGATAGCTCATGCACTAATGATTTGGCTTTTTCGGGTCCTAGATGATCCTAACCCCCCAAAAGAATCTCTCATGATTGCTCTAGCCGGTGCTAAGTTCAAGGCAAGCAGTGGACAGCAAGAGTATTTCCAGCGTTCCACCACACATCACAGCATTCAGGGTGGCCCCCAACGTCTGCGAGGCCACACCATGACCTGAAGCCACACTTCGCGTTTCGTGATCTGCTGTGCTTGAAGGAGCTGAAGCGTACTCCAGGAGCTGAAGTGACTGACTGGGGGACCTGCTTTCCTGGTATGTTAACCTGAGCTGACCCGCAAGGAAGGGGAGCAAGTAAGCAATGTCATAGGAGTCACTCTCGGCAGCTTTGTCCTGCGATACGGCGATGCGCGAGAAACGAATCAGAAACATGTCATTGGCTATCTCATCCGGAACATCCAGAACCTATACAAAGCATTACAATCTGTTCATTATTAATTGCTAAAATACTTATGAATACGTCTTTGAAGAACAGGTTTCTCAACATGTGTGTTTTTCTTTGTGTCTCCAGGTCTCTAGAATCTATAGCCCAGCCCGTCCAGAGTCTGATTCCATGCGTCAGAGTAGGGAGACGCGTCGCCCTCTGCGAGCCGGTTGAAGCGGAAGTGATCCGTGGTCGCCCGAAGTCTGCGTTGATCTAAGTCCCACTCCCAAGAAGCAATCCAAGGTTTCAGATTCTGCGCCCAGGAGCGGAAAGACCAAGGTCTTTGAGGTCTTTGTCCATCGTCCGTATCTTCCATGCTCAGAAGCAGCTTTTGGGCCAAAAGGTCTCTTGGTGAACAAGAGGCTCTATAGCTCTTCTGCACTTTCTCTACAAAGTCCTGCAACTTCTTGGAACCACCAGGTACTTGTTGAAGCTCGGGCCACCAAAGCACTGCATGTTGCAGGAGCCACTCTGGCACTTCGGTGTCTTCACCTGAACTCTCCACTGTCGTTTCAGCCCAATGAGTTGGGAAGCACACTTTGAAAAGCAAATGAGATCGCCCCTTCGTGCGAGGAGAAACAGCACACCTAAAAGAGAATAACAAAACAATGGGAAAAGAAGGAGTCTGGTGTACATCTTCAGACCGTCTAAGCACAAAGCTCGTGGATAGCAAGCGTCGGGCTGCTGGCAGCTGCCAAGACTGCCGCTGGCGCCCGTGCAACGCCCTGAGCACTATGGCGGCTGCTTCTGCCGTGCAGCCACTGAAAGACTTCACCTCATTCTTGCGATCTCACACTCAAAGGGGTTGGTCTTTTGCCACCAATGATTGAAAACACTGCATCAAACTCTAAGAACGTCAAAGGAATTGGCTAAATGTACTGCACAAGGATGTACAATGACTATTCTAAGTTTGCGAGTTCTTGCGGCACTCCCCACTAGCAGCTTCTCGATCTGTCAGTTGAGTCCGAGGCCAAGTCCTTCAGCTTCTCACTCAGATCCTCCAGTGCAGTCTCTGGCAGAGACTTCACAAGAACCTTTGCAGCTGTCAGCCTGAGGCCATCAGAACTTTGGCAGTCCCTTTCCGTGTCCCTCTGTGATCCCCCAGGGTTCTGAAATCGTCAGGAAAACCCTGGGTGATCCTCTCACCACGAAGAGATGCTTTCCGAACAAGTGCATTTCTGTGAATTTCTGTCGCCAGGGCACATCTGCGCATCAGACAGTTCAATTGCACTCATGGAATCCAAGAAGTTGCCTTGCTTCGCGCAAGTCTCCATCGGTCATACCCATCTAGTCTGACTCATCAACCAGTCGTGTTTCCCACAGCTCAGGTGAGCACCGATGGCATTTGCCTTGCCTCGTGCTAGGTCAAGCTCAAGCCGGAAGCTGCAAGAGCCTGAGGAGCCCAAACATTTGGAAAATGCCTGGTGACGCTTACAGTATCAAAAATGATCAAAGCAAGTTCTCCGTTAGCCCTCAGACCGCAGCGGAACGCCCCTCCCTCCTGGTTTCAGCCAAGATCAAGAGCAGTCAATCCAGAGAGACTGCCAACAGAGTGACTCGGAGAAGGGCTCGACTTTTGCAGGCTGTTCCTATTTCGCTATGCCCAGGTGTGGACCGGTGGACAGTTGCATTGACCCAATTGCTATGAGCCTCTTCTTCCAGGGCTGCTATAACCAACTTCTCCAGAACTGGAGCATGATTGCTTGCAAACCTTGGGCAACGTGAAGGTGGCACTCAAAAAGATTCGCAGAGTCGTAATGTCAGGAAAATGGCATTCTCCAGAAAGGGCACTCATGTTTCGTTGGTGTTCAACCTTGGTGGTGGGATCATACCTAGGAGCCAAATTCCTGTGATGGGCCTTGCAGCATCGTCATTTCAGTTGCCAGTTCAGCACCAATGCCAGCAACATGGTTTAAAACGCAAACATGTCCAGTCACGGTGTCCCACTCTCGGTTTCAATTTGCTTGAACCCTCTTTGGCAGTGCGGTAGAGGTTGCAAAGTGGAAACTTAGCATCTGGTGAGCTAATGTGACAGCCGGCCACCAGCCGCTAGCATTATCAAGTTAGCCCGACACGACAGGCTTTTCAGTGGTTCTGACTTGAACATGTGTTCGTCTTGGGCTCGTACAGGCATCGCAAGCTGTCCTCCACTCTTCATATCATGTGTTTTTTCCCGAAGCCATTTGTGTTACCTTAACAGTTTGACTCAAGGTGACAGTATCGGAATCTCCTCAGGCGGTAAAGGTTGCAAAGAGGCCGCAGTAACGGTTTGGGCCTTGGCCACTCTGGGGCCAAGATTCTTGTGTTTGGATGGTTTCAGTGAACATAAGATACCAACTCATCCAATCTGTCCTTTTGCGGTAATGTGGTTGGCAACTTGTTGATGCCACGTCAAAATGAGCTGGTGTGCAAACTGAGCGTAGCTTTGACTGCCTGTGACCTTGAGCTCCAGGCTCCATCAAGTGCCACTAGCGGCTCCCTGCCACTCTTCAGAGTCAAAGTCTGATGGATTTCACAAGAGTTGAAATCTTGTAGAGCTACCTCAAGGACTTTGGGAGAAATGAGAACAGCATAAACTGAAAAGCTGAAACGAGCTGGCTGGACGGCGCCAAAGCCGCTGCCAAACGCAGCACCTGAATGGGGAGAAGGACATAGGTTGAAATTCGTCAAGACAGGCAGGCAAGGTCTTGTTTCAAGCAACATGTAAACGAGATGGACACCCACTGGCTTTAGTCTATACTTCCTTGTTTAATAAAGGAAAAGTTTGACATTGGAACACATGTTTGTTGCTGTGTGATTAGTTTTAAAGGTGGTCTTGATTTGGCTTTGAGGATTGTAGTTTTGGTGGCCTGCATATTGGCACCCTCATCCTGGTACACCCCCAACAATGAGCGGAATTGTCGATTCCTGCTCATGTGAATGTTCTACATGTCTGTTGGAGCACTCTAAGTGGCTAGGCTGCGCAGGCTGCCGCCTATCTCCCATGTAATGCCATAAACCAAACGGAGACAGGACAAGTATATAGACAAGACGACAAGACGGTCTTCCCAAAAACTCTCAAGACATCGAGGATATCATCAATGACACTCGTCAAACACTGAGGGACACTCAAGGATGTCCCGGTCCCTGAGATTTATAAGTTTCTAACTTGAAGAGAAATGTCCTGTGACCACAACGGGTAATTACATGTACAGTAGTTACTTTATTGTCCAATCAGCTCAGCGCCCCCGCTGCTGCAGGTTTGCCGCTGAGCCAGGAAAGTTGAAGTGCCAAAGCTTTCCGAATCTGCGGATGTATCCAGCCTCTTGCGAATGACTCGGCGGGCCAAACCCGCACCGCACAATGCGAGCACTCTGCACTGTTTGCATCTGTTTGCACTATTGTCAGGGTTCAAGAAGTTCAAGAACCTAAGAGTCAGGCTGAGCTGCTGAAACAATGAAACCATAGGGAGAGTCAAGCCTTTCAGAGTCCAAACAGCATCTTAATCTTGAGCGATGCAAGAGTCAGTATGACATCAAAAAAAACACCCAGGCCGGTCTAGGTGTGCATTCTTCCAGTTGCCTGAATCCAACTCAGGTGTCCGGAACTGAAGCCTGGGCGCGCACTACCTTTAGAATCTGAATGAAAGAATACTCGAGGGTCAAAGAAGAGAGATCACAAGCAAATAGTCCCTGGATTCCCAGAATCATTACAGTAATTCCGAGGTATTCAAATCTGCATCTTGTCACCAAAAGCTGGCAATGACACAGGTTCTTTCAATAAGCTCTCAGCAGCTCGGTGGTGAGTGCTAACCGGACAAGCGCCATGCGGTCCCAGCAAATCACCTGGTACAGCTGGGATCGCCTCTATATTCCACAGTGGGATCCAAAAGACTGCCAATTCCTCGTCAATTTGGATGGAACAAGAGCCACGCCTTTGGTATAGCTGGGCATGGGGTCTTGACCAAGCCATGCAGGACGCTGAGCCTGTGAATTTCTTCAACCCGTCCCAAACTCTCAGAGTCCATCAACCTGCTTGGTCTGGACCTCTGATTGGCATCCAGCTCCAGGAATCGTTGCTTGTGAGTGTCCACCGCCTTCGTTCCAAAACGTCCAACCCCCTAAACCAACGGTTGGACGAGAAAACAAAACTAGTATGCTTTCTTTACCATGCCAACTGCTTACATGGTGGCCTTGGAGCGCAAAGAGACCATGGTGTTCAAGACTTCATCAGCTATGTCGACTTGGGCGCTGTCAGCCACTGCCTGTCTTCAAAGCAATGCACCTTTTAATTGCCTAAGTCTCTTGGTTTTATTATCCTTTGGAGGTGCACACTACAAAGCATTTTACCCAACATGACCAGACGAACCATTTTACGCCCCGCATCCACTGCTTTTGCAAAGGCATCGGGCGCCCGCTTTGGGCGCCTGAGTTCCATTAACAAACCAAAAGCGCCAGGCTATGGCTGCCACGTCAGGGACATCCCAAAGCCCCGGGTCTGTGGGCGCGCTTGTGCAGGTGGCTGCACCACATGTGGCACTGGCACCACATGTGGCACCGGCACCACGTGGGGCACAGGTACTACATGCGGCTGCATCCCTCGTGCAAGCGGCTGCACCACATGTGGCTGGGGAACTTGCACCACATGAGCTGGTACGACTGATACGACGTGCGGCCGTGCCAATTGCGGTGGCTGCACCACTTGAGGCTTTGCTGCAAGCATTGGCAGCGCCGGCAGCACCACAGGGTGTCTGACCACTGGTGGTCTTGCCGAGTGTGGTCTGGCCAGCACAGGCTCTCTTGCAACAGGCGATTTGGCCACTTGCATAAATGGTTTCCCTACTGGTCTGGCCACCACAGGCTCTTTTGCAACAGGCGATTTGGCAACTGCTAGGGATGGTTTCCCTGCTTCCTCAGGAAGTCTCTTGACCAAACCTGGTGCTAGCGGACCTACTGGCAAGGGCCCACTGGCTGCTGGTGGCATCAATCTTGGGCGCTTGGATTCTGACTCTGTTGGGGAAACCAATGGTCTCTTCATGGATGCAGCCAAGGCAGGTGGCATAGCCTTGGCTGCTGGGGACCTGGCTGTCACTGTGACAGGTGCCCTCACAGGTGGTGTTTTGGCAGGTACCACTTGCCCTGTCTTGACAGGCGCGGCTTTTGCAGGGACAGTGACTGGTCCTTTTTTTAACTCAGGGGTCTTAGGGTCGTTGCTCCCCTGGTCAGCGACTGGCCATCCCTCGGCAGGAATTCCGCCCCGCGCGATGAAATCCTGCAGTTGAAGTAGCACATCACCATCAGCTGGAGCAAAACGTGCCATGACCTTTTGACGCAAAGAGCGCTCCAAAGGTGCCAGAAGCATCTTTGCCTTTGTTAGATCCAATCCATGCTTATTCACAAAGACCAACACTTGTTGCATCTCAATGATGGGCAAGGCTGGGGCAACGATTATCGCTCTCGGCTCCTTGCAGGAAGGGTTTCGAACCGATTCGAATCGATGGAACCGAAAGCTGAACGAATGCAATGAGCCAGAAAAGTTAGTGATCTGAATGTAAACAATACTAGTAGCGAGGACGCTACTAGGGGCTCCTGGCCTTACTACTAGGAGCAAGGACGCTACGAACGGGGCTCCTAAATATCAATTGCTCAAACACAGCCGAACCGAAAAGCGAGACGAACGGTTACACCCCGAGGTCAATCAGCAAAATCAGCAAAGTGCTTTGCCCATACAGCATGTCACTGGCGCGGCCCGGCTTCAGGCAAGTTCACAAGTTGCGTTCCTTCCATTTCCTTTCCTTGTCCTTTCCTTTTCTTTGCTTTCCTTTCCTTTCCTTTTGCTTTCCCTGTCCTGTCTTGTCTAGTCTTGTCTTGTCTAGTTTATCTTTTCCTTGCTTTTCTTTACTCCACTACGTAACTTGTGTCTCACAGAACTGAAACGGTTCAAAAGAACACTTTTCCAACCGAACCGAACCGAGTTGAAATTCCGATTAAACATTCAAACCGATTCCAACCGAACCGAAGGTCCTTGGGAGGAGTCTGTGCTGGTGATGCCTCTGATGGTATCCCAGCAAATGGCGCTGTTGGAGGCTTGCGATTCTCCGGTAGAGAAGGTAGCTTGAGCTCTTCCAAAGGTGGTGGGTCAGGAGCACCAGCCTCTGCTCGATGCGCGAAGAAGGCTTGGATGTCCATCTTCATCAGCTCGCACTGCCACTGCCCACCCTTAAAATAATCCTCGACTTCCGCCAAAGGATACAGCCTGTAAAGCTCTTTGAAAAGCTCTGCATCACTTTTTCGTAGTGCGGCCTCTAACCAAAGCTCGCCATATGTGTCATATGTCATCTGCATCCACTCAACAGAGGTCTCTGTGACCTGAAAATCTTCGCTGTGTCCATGCACGGAAACGGCAAAAGAAAACCTAAAGTCTCGTAATGCCTATTGCGTGTAGTCTTCCAAAGCTCTCGAGCCGATTTGTTCATCCAAGTCGTTCAAAGCCTCAGCCTGGCCATGCCTCAAAGGTTTTGCCAAGTCCGTCTTCTTTGTTGTCTTGCTTTTTCCATATTCTATATCCTTGCCTCCTGCCCTCCTCCCTGCCTGCCTGCCTGCCTTCCTCCTTTGCTCCCTCCCTCCCTCCACCCTGCCTGCCGGCCGGCCGGCCTTCCTTCCTTCCGCCCGCCCATCCGTCCTTCCGTCCGTCCGCACGTTCGTCCGTCCATCCATCCATCCTTCTCTCCAAGTGTTTGTTTAGATTAGAGTCAACAAATGTGAGCGGTGAGCAGCATACTGTATTCACATGTATTCACCCCTCCTCAACGGGAGGATCTTCGTCACGCTTTCGCTTCCTTCAGTATCAGTGTATCGTGCTGAATCTCATCCGCTAAAATTCGGTTGCATCCGTCAAATGAGCACGTGACTTGGATTGAAGCTTCTCAAGGAGTTGCCTTACATCCAAGAGAACGTGCTTCAAAGAACCGCTTTGCAGCATCCCAAGGGCTCAAACTGGCGGATCTCTTCAATTCCATTTTGAGGTCCTTCACCTTCCACCGTCTCCTTTGCCTGCCTTGGGAGGTTCAATGAGGTTCAAAAGAATGTCACAAAAAGGAAGAGAACTGAAGAAATCCTAGATTAAAAATGATGATGCTAGATGCAAATTCATGAAAATTGTGTCCTTTTTGCTTTAAAGGTGATGCTGAGCCTTGTGCTCTTCAGGTGTGGACACCTGCAGGGAGCCCAAGTCCAAAACACCAACAGGCTCCACAGGTTTTTACGTTTCAACGCTTCAGGGCCGCACAGACCCCGCACGCCATTCTCCAATCCCACGAACCACAGACAGTAGAGGCTTTGCCGTCTCTGGCAAAGACCTCAAAAAAATAGAAGAAAGGAGAATCCAACATAATCCAACATGTCTAAAGTCTAAACCTGTCTGTGCCACCAGTCCGGCTCAACCTGACTTGACAAGCGATGACAGGCCGCCAACCTGCTAAGGTTCACGCGTCGCCATCAGCAGCAGGAACTGCTTCACCATCTTGGAACATGCTGTTGCCATCTTCAAACCTCATACCAGTATGGAGCTATACGGAGCTTTTGAGGAGCCTGGTCTACTGGTCAGAAGTATGTAGATGAGTGTGTCTTGCCATGGCCAAGGCCACCTGCAGTGTCTAGACGCTGAGCCTCCAGGCGCTGCTCAGCTGGCGCATTCCCGGGCAAGGCCAGGCTCTGTGGGTCTCGTCTTGTGAGGTGCTGCAGCAATGCGACCGGCAGCAGGGAGGGTGCCTTACCAGGCCCTGGGCCCACTGGACCCACTGGACCGAAAGCTTCGTTCCCCCTAATAGCGTCCTTGTCACTAGTAGTACAGCCAGGAGCCCCTAGTAGCTCCTAGTAGCGATGCCAGGGAGCCCCTAGTAGCTTCTTGTTCCTAGTTCACAACCTGGTTCCTGCAATTACACTGTGACCCCCTTGGCCCGACTTGGCCCGACTTGGCCCGACTTGGCCCGACTTGGCCCGACTGGGGAATTGCTGTTGCTCTAAAAATGCTTCTGATGCCTGTGCTTAGTGAGGAAATGCCACAAGAAGCTAGAAGGTGCGCAGTGCTTGCAAGATCAAACGGTGTCGGCACTGGCACCGCTTCTGCAACAATCTGTTCAGTCCGCTCAAGATGCCTCCACCAAAGACATGAAGTACCCAGGTCGGGCAAAGAGTGCTTGCAGCACCTACACCAAATCAGGGTCTTGTCATAATGCTTTACCGCAGAGCGCCAAACAGCATTCCACTTAGCTATCACTTTTAAGCTGGAACTCTTGAGCCAGCCGAAAGATCAAATCCCCAAGCCTGGCCAAGGAAGCCCACACACTGGGGCCGCTTCTCCAGGGCTGTCAAAAGGAGCTTGATCTCCAACTTCTCGTCGGAACCCAGCAAACCCCGGCCCAAAAGAAACTCCACCGTTTGCCTCAGCAATTGAAACATGTTGAAACCATTCAAGGTCTGGTCACACTCTTGCAAATGTAATCAAATGTAAACTCACGGAATTTTGTTGCACATAGACTAGATAGATACTCAAGAAGCCTTGAAGATCAGACCAAAAAACAGGCGGGTTCAGGCTCCTGCTCAGTGCACTCTTGACGGAGCTCGGTGCAAACATCGGCAGAGCGCAGTCGCAGCAAGGTCTGAAGCGGGCGGCGAAAAAGTGTAAAGACTCAAGTCATAAGGGTCATGCTTCTTCAAGTGCTAGTCCAGTCATGTGCTCATGAGCTGCTTATGATGACACTGCCACAGTGATCACTCATCACAAAAACGTTCTGACGTGGGTCGAAGCTACGAATCGCAGTGACCCCGCGAACGCAGTGCCGTTGGGTCGTTGCTTCCGACCAACGCAGTGCGCCTCCAACCAGGATCGCTGTGATTTGGACAGCTGCATAGATTCTGCGCGAGCACGCCTTGACAACTCCGACAAAAGGATTCTCTGATGCCATGACACTGAAACCATGGCACAAGGATCATGATGACTTGTAAACAAGTGACAAAGGGGAGTTATAGCTACTAGGAGCAAGGGCGCTCCTAGGGGCTCCTGGCCTTACTACTAGGAGCAAGGACGCTACTAGGAGCGAAGGGCATCGCGACTAGGAGCAAGGACGCTACCTGTGCTGTTGCTGGAACTAAGTTGCCAGGCATGGCCGGAGCCACACAGGAGACGCATGCCAATGCACGTTCAAAGCATGGCGCACCTGCGCCGTTCGTGTTGACAGTGAACTACCGGAGATCTCACTACATGGGCACGTGATTTCGAAGGGTTTTGGGGACCATTTTGGGATGATTGTGCTGATTGATTTGCGTTGAAAAGTCTTACCAAACAAATGGGTCAATTCCGTACCCAACAAGATACAATAGTTTTGCCGCAGCCTGTAAGCCTGTGAGCCTTTGGGACCCCTGCTGAAATAATGTTTCTCGCGCATTGCTTAAGTTCCTAGATACTTGAATGCTCGGATGAGTCGCTCGAAAGCAGCTGCAAATCTTCTTGTCACTCTCCCTGATGTCGTTCCAACAGAAAACACAACATGATCGACAAAAACTGGTGGACCAAAACGATGTCAACGTGGTGCCTTTTGAGTCCAGGATCGGTGCGGCTACGGCTGACAAGAGCTTTGACCTGACAAGCTGCACTGGCCAGCTCTGACTGAATCTCTCTCTCTCGCTCTCTCTGCTCTCGTTCTCTCTCTTCAAAAGCCTTAGGTCTTGTTTTGCATCTTGGTCTCGAACCAGTCAAACTTGATATCAAGAGCACTTTGCGGAAGAACCTCAAGATACCTACAACGTTGGACGAAGCATCGGCAATAGGTGAAGAAAATGTCAACTCTTGCATCTTGCAGTGTGTAGTTCTTGTGTCACATATCACATATGTCTGTCTCTCCGCATGTCCAGAACAGTGATTCACAGCCAATACAACTCGGTGGGACAACATGTGTGCGTGTGGTTGTCCTTTAAGCCTTTCCCTTTGATGGAGTGATTAGTCCAACAGGGTTTTGCTGGAGACGGCAAGCCTCTGCACACTCTTGCACCAGGAGGTGAAGACCAAATGAGGTGGGAGGTCTACACCTTGGACCGTCACTTAAGGCCCCGATCAAAAGCTTCAAGGTGCTGAGGATGTGCACTTTAACATGTTTAATAGGGTGATGAGGAATCTTGATGTGCAAAGACCAATAAGACCAACTCCCCAGGATTCGGCAGGCTCAGGTCGTCTTGATTCGAGCAAACCTGAGTCCAAAACCCTTGAGCCCAAGCCACTTGGCCACCTCTTCTGGGGTGACCTCATGGCAAAGGAACCAGGGAACCAGGACGCTGCTAGTAGCTCCTGGCATTTCTACTAGTAACAAGAAGCTACTACGTAGTAGCAACGGGCATCACTACTAGGAACAAGCACGCTACTAGGAGATCCATCGTACAAGTTGTCATTGACAAACTGAGTCACTGCCCGCCTGCAAGGCTTCACCCTCACCATTCTCTTCCCTGAAGGCCACACAGTCTTCCTTTCTACCGCCCATCCCTAGCGAAGTGCTTAATTCTACTGCCAATCTTGAGGAAGCATGTGTACCTTCTGTGCTAATGTCCAAGAAGCATCAGACAAGGCACTGAGGCGCTTCTGCCTCTAAACCGTCTTCGCCTTCCGGCCTCAAGGAGCAAGGACGCTACTAGTAGCTCCTGGCATTACTACTAGTAGCAAGAAGCTACTAGTAGCAAGGTGCATCGCTATTAGTAACAAGTGCATCGCTACTAGTAGCTAGAAGCTTCCGAGTTCCGCTTCCGAACACCGCTCACTCTGCTGCGGTCTTAGTGCCCCGAACAGAGGCTGTGCCCGTTTCGACGTCGACCCTGGAGAGTGGGTGGACCTTCTACGTTTCAACTCAAGTAGAGTTTTTCAAGGTGTTCATTCCTCTGAGAGGATCATCAGGGTAAATAGGACATCAACAAGACATGCATAGAACTCAAAGCCTACCTTGCTGCTTCAGGTCAAAGGATGCCTCCTGCTGTCGGGAGAGATAACTCTAGGGCAATCAATGTCAAGACAAAGTGGATCTACAGTTGGAAAAAAAAGGGCTGTGAGGACAAAGAGGAGGAGCCCCGCAGGGGCATGGATTGGTAGACCAATCGTCCGCATGACCAAACATGATTTCCAGCCACATTTGTGAGCCTATGAGCACACTTTTCTGACAAGACAAACCAACTGCAATGATTTCCAGAGCGCCCATCACTCCCTGCTGGGACATCTTGTCAATTACAGTAGCTTCCCAAGAGAAGAAAGTGCCACAGAGGTAAAGTCTATCTTCATGCACAGTGCATAGCACTGCATACCATTGCATAGCATTCATTCTGTGCCCACGCTATTTGGTTCATCTCTATATGCGGCCCCATAAGGAATTGCCACTGGGCCACTGGGTTCAGTGCATCGGATCGTCCTCCTTACTGAGGCGCTGCCAAAGCAACAGGAAGGTATTCAGCTCTGGCAACTGTTGCTGCGTTCGCTGCAGCAGCTCCTCACGTCGGACGGCTGTCAAACTTTTCAAATATGTTCAAATCAAGGTCAAACTAAGCCTCCCCATGGTCGAACTAAACAGCTTCTTTGGGAGTGTACTGAATTTAATATGCAAAGTCTCCAAACCACCATAAACAACCATCAATCCAGGATTCGGGTCATCAAACCGTACAAAGCTTCTGCAAGCTCTCCATGTATCCGACCCACCAGCTTCCTCCCTCTCAGCTGTTTCCCAACCACTAAAGCTGAAGGCCCGCTGCAGGCGGTCCAAAGCCTCAGTGTCTACTCAATCACCTTCTCTCCAAAGCCCCTCTTGATAGGCAACCTTCCAGACCTATGATCTATGCAAGTCTTCAAATGAGCCACAGTCGAAATGTCGCTGAAGGTCATCAGAATTTGTTGAGTGCGTTGTGTTTTCCGTGTCCATCACGCTGTCCTCACTCCTTTGTGAGATGATGTTGGAGCAAAACATGCATGTTGCACTCCACGAGAGCTCACTGACTACTTCTGAACAGTTTTGATCCTTAGCTTAAATCACGTTGCCCATATCATGGCAAAGGAGGAGGCTCTTTTTCAAAGTAAACAATTGTTTGATCTTCTGAGGAATAGGCTGCAATAAGAAGCTGCAAAGCTCCTAGCTGAACTACTGCATTCTTCTGCAGCAGAGCCTACAGTACAAATACAGGTTTGAAAACACCAGTGATGAATTCAATTGCTTCTCAATTCTCACAGAACTTCCAGGGCATTCTGATAAGACTTGAGGTTCACCTTGCCTTCTGCATCCGACATATATTGCTGCTCACTGGCAAATTCAAACGTACGTATTGTACAAAAAGTATGTGGCTTGGCGTTTACTTGCCCAAGCCTGTGTGATCAAGGTTTTCTGCATCGCTTTTGGCACTAAGGCTTCTTGAATCCAGGACCTTCGCACTGGTTTTGCATGCTTTGCATCACTGTTTGGCAGCACATGCTGAGCCATGTACAATCGCAGTTCTTGAATCGCCTCTGTCTTTTCGCTGCCAATTAAAGTCAGTGCCTGCAAGTGGCCAAACCTAGGAAGGACGCTACTAGTAGCTCCTGGCCTTACTACTAGGAGCAAGAAGCTACTAGTAACAAAGGGCATCGCTACTAGTAGCAAGATGTAGCAAGGACGCTACTAGTAACAAAGTGCGACCGCTATCCTGCGTCCTCGGTAGTAGCTTAAGTATGTACTAGCTAGCTACCTCTCTTCCACTAGCTACCCTACCTACCTCGACCTACCCCCGGCGGCTTCAAAAAGAGACCTTCAATTATCCAACCAAATCCACCACGCCCTTCTTGTGCCTCCGAACGCACGGAGGAGACGTCCATCTCCAGCAAGGTCCGAAGAAAGCGGACATTCAAAAGCCACCCCCTCCAAGTCCAAATTCACAGGGATGTTGTTTCCGGTTGGTATATTAGCTGGTCGGAAATGATATCTTTGAAAGGTTAGGCCCTGGGTGGACTTAAAGCCTCGCGTTTGCCACTACTGAGTTCCGCGGCAGCTTAACGCTGCATCGGTGGTTCCGCCGCGGGGATAATTTCTCTAAGCATCTTTCCTGACACTCAAAGAAGAAACCAGCCTCGAGAAGCGTGGTTGAAGAGGCAGCTTCAACCTGGAGCAGAACCTGAGAAATAGCCACTGCTGAGGACTGAGGGAAACCACTGATATCGTGATCAGTAGAAAGCTCGGTTTTTTTCAGCAGTTTAACGTGTTCCTTGAACTCTTCCTTGGTGACAGTGCAGTAACAGTAACAACATTAAGTCTTGAAGATCCCATCAGGACACCTTCCTTTTGCTTCTCGCATTCAAACAGAAACCTTCCAGCCTAGCTGTGTCGGCTACGTTTAGGCCGTCACTGCAGAGGAAGGAGGTCACTAGCGTCAAAAGAAAGACAGCAAGAATTGAGGAGCCTTCTTGTCATTAGTCATTCATTGTGCCTGGCTATTTGCTTCCGAAGCTGAGTTCACGCTTGAAAAATACGTGAGCTCACTATGGTGAGTCGCCAGCATTGTAGCCTCAGGTTCTCGCAAAACCATCAAACCTGCTAAAGAAAAGAAGGAAGAGCAGAAAGAAACCAATTAAAAACGAAAGCAACAAAGTGTCTGCACGTTTTTGAGAATAAAGTCACTTCTGGTGACCAAACAAGTGTCCCTCATACGGTTTGATTGTCCTGTTCACATGCCGTTTCCTCCCACATGTCTTCAGGCGTGGCACTATTTTGTCGGGTGAAGGTGTCGCCTTCGCTGCGCTGCCTTCGGCGTTTGTTCTTCGGAGTGTTTTGTTTAAATCAAAAATATCGTTTCTCCAAGACCGCTCGTGCCTGGTAAAGTTTGCGAAGACCTCTTCCAAACGAGCTGCTCGTCCAATGGATGACTGATAGATCGTCCAATCTGCCACCTGTGGGGAAAAGTTATCTTTGCCGCCTTTGGGTTCGATTCCATCGCTATTAGGTTGGCGGCCATCGCTTTTAGGTCTTTGTTGTTTATATTGATATTGTTTTTACTTGTTTCTTTGCCACCTTTGGTCCCAACATGCAAACACCGTTTCCGGCAAGCATCTTCGAATGAAATATGTACGGGCCAGAATGCACGCCTTTTCAAAGAACAGATTTCAATATTGGGAAGCTGTCTGTTGCCAACAATTCGCACAAACACTTCAACGCTCAATTGGAAAAAAAAGAGGATGCAGTTTTCTTCAGTTTCGTCACCATCTCTCTTTGGGATCGACACCTGAGGGTCCAGAGTCGCCAGAATGGAGGGATGTGTCCTCGTCGAAACGCCTCGGTCCACCGGGTTCGCCAGAGCCTCATCCTTGGCAGACACGGACCAAACATGACAGAGCCGGGGCCCATGTGGTCGTCTTTGACAAAAAGTCAGTCAACATGCTCTTCCGCGCAGTTTGGGTGTCAAGACCGCCAAGTCTCTCTGTTCATGTGGCTTTGATGAAAACTTTGCAGGTCTACTGAGTGATATCCATGGGCGTCAATGAAGACACAAGGCGCAAATGTCCTGCAAAGAACTGGGATGTCCTGCATCTGTCCCCTCACCAAAACCTGACCGGCACAGCATAGTGGTTGCCACCCGACTCCCCAAGGTTTGGACCATAAATCCACCCACCATGCACCTGCCCGTCCACAAGTCCACAAGAATCCACACCTGTCCTGTCCCAGAAGATATCATCCAAGGTGTAGGAGTGCCGTGCCTCAAAACTTGCTGCTGTGGTCTGCTCCACTCCGCTGACCTCAGAACCAAACCTCTTTTGGGATGCCAGCAGAACCAAACCTCTTCAGCGGACTCAAGCAAGCGGGCCTAGCACCTTTTGACATTCAATGAACTCGTGGCTCATCATGATGCCAGCGTGTGCCCCGGGTGGTTGGAACAGTTCAAGTTCATGTTCCAGTTCCAGATCCAAGTATCTGGGTGGTTGGAGAGGATCCAGTTCATGTTCCAGTTCCAGTTCCAATTCAGTACGCTTCAATGGGTCAATGACGTACATACCTCTCTTTGTTCCCCGACCCGTCCACATGTTGTTTTTTCCCGGGGGAGCAGTTCCTGTTCCAGTTCTAGTCAAAAAAACACGCATGGTGCGCAAAGTTTCTCCGAGTCTTGTACCAAAACCAAGATCTCCAAGTAGGTCGACCTTGGCTGCAACGACATACTTCTCTTGTGCCGCTTCCAGACACTTGAAGAAAGCTGAAGAATGTCTTTTTGACCAGGGAACTTCCTCATGTAGGCGCGGACACTCATCTCAGTGGGATAGCCTTCAGTACCTCGAGGTACGACCGGTGACAAAGGGCTTTCAAAGTCCACCTGGCGCAGTGTTCGACCGGTGGGGTGGGTTGATCGAACCCCCACTGAAACTCGTCCACCAAATGGATACAGTAGCGATGCCAGGAGCCCCGTTCGTAGCTTCTTGTTCCTAGTAGTAAGGCCAGGAGCCCCTAGTAGCGTCCTTGCTGGTTCATGAATCTTCTGAATGATTCAAAGGTTTTGAACCCCTAATTATATACTAGGTACCTGAAGTGTCGCGCATGTCACGCCTTGTGAACCACCTCCGTGGGAAGCCCAAGAAAAATCACACCGTTGTGCATGTCCATATCAGGTTCGATCAGGTCAAGCCTCAGCGGTCACATGGATTGCACTAGAGCATGCCAGGCTCCATCGCGAAGCATTTCTTCCAACATCTTCCAACGTAAAAAAAGCAGGTGTAGATCTGTTTAAAGCTCGCTCCCCCTCCCTACTTGTATAATTAAGTAGGTGCCTACTTAATTGAGTAAGGGAGAGGTAGCTAGTACCTTACTTAAGCTGGACGCAGGATAGCTCACGCTTCATTTGGTTCCTAGAATTTTTGGGAAACTTAAGTATGCAAACGAGTCTCGCATTGATTTCCACCCGTACTCCTTTGGGGTGTGAAGGATCCTGAACCGCAAGGCAGTCTGCCAATCACCCCAAATGAATGAGGTTGACTACGCACTCACAAAGTCCTTGTGATGCTGGACACAATAGACCTGAATCTTTCCTGCAGCTGCACTATATAGATCACTATCCAGCTGCAAACGAATCCTATGCGCACCTTGAGATAGCGTGAAGCCAGTCCTGCAGAATGCAACTATCCTTGCAAAGGGTTTCCCAAACACTTCACTGAACAAAGGCAAAGCATTTACTGTATGTATAGTTACTATCCGGGCAAACAGCGAGGAGCATGCCCCTCATCTTCAGAAAACTCCCCAGAGCTGTTCAGAAACCCTGGCTCTCCTCTTGGCGATGCGAAATGTGAGGTGGACACAGCCATCAGTGACGCGTAGAAGTGCTGTATCACTGAAAATCACACTCGCTGCATGGGCGCTCGCCTGGGAATCGGCAAATCCCTGAAAGTGTGCAGAAGTTCTGCAGAAGCATCTGTGAAACGTCCTAACAAATTCTGCTTCTGCTTCAAAGCGTCAGCCGAGATCCTCAGCAAGTGAAATCGACTTCGAGCGGAGGGACAAAGGGAGCATTGATCAGTTTCAGCCTCTGTGGTGATTCGCATGTGAAACGGACCTTGAAAACAAAAGCCTCCTTTCCTGCCAAGCCTCTGTGCAAAGACAACACCAATGACCGCAGCATCCAAGACCTGGCCACAGACCACCTGAATCAGCGAAGCTTTTGAGTTAAAAGCCTTCTGAGGGCTTGCTGACACCCACAACCAAAACTGACACCCACCCACATCTGGAAAACCGTCACATGCGTCACTCTGAACAGCTGCCAGCCTGCAGTGGAAGTAAAACCACCGCTTCTGGGCAGCCATCGAAATTTTCTTTAGGCGCTCCATAGCCTGAGACCCCCAAAATGGGCTGAGTCGAGAGACACTATCGGTGTTGGTCACCCCGTGTCACATCCAAGCAGCCGATGGTCATCTGTGTCTCCACTGAAAAGTAGAAGGCAGAGAGCAAACTCGAAAGTCCAATCGCACAATTCTCTGAGATGCTCCACCACATCAATGCAAAGATAAAATAGCAAAGAGCCTGAAACGAAACAAAACCCCGAAACCAAAAAGAACAGAAAACGGGCAACGAAACAGAAAAAGCAGCTTCTGAAAGGTCTGAGGGTCGGCACGTAGGTCACGAAAATGATTGGATAAAGACCCAAGAATGGAAGCTCCAAAATGGTATGAAAAATGTCATATAGAAACATGGCATAGATCTGGCGCTTCCTCCTCACATGGAAAGCCTTGCATGGCGAAAGCACAACGATCCTGACCTCTTTCAGTTTGCGAAGCCTTCAAGACCTCTTTGAGCTTGCCGAGTCTTGAAAGTGACAGCTGCCAAGTGGCTCGGGTACTTTGCGCCTGACCACCATCCCGGTCCAGGATTCGCTTGATCTTGCTGCGATGTTGCACCAGTGCAAAGTTCTCCTCAGTTCATCAAGAACACCAAACAACTTTCTCTCTCTCTCTCTCTCTGTCTGTCTCTCATTGTCTGGGCATGTGAAATGGTTGATCTTCCGACCAAAGCAAAATTGCATGCCTTTGCAGTCCACTTTTGGATCATCAACAGGGGAGTATGACGCTGCCTGCAGATTCAGTGGCCCGTGCCAGTTGAGATGCATTCGTCGAAGTCGAAGCCACAGGTGGGATTCCAAAGCCCGAACTTCTGGCTGCAGCGCTCTGTTCGCTCTGTGCGTCGCTCTGTTGTGAATCTTCCCTCGACCCCTGGCTTGACTCCTGCAAAGGGGCTCATCAAAGAGGTGATTTTTAAAATGATATACATTGATATACTGTATTTATATAATGTATAGAGAGAGATATATTATATACAGAAAAGGGAGATCCTTGCAGGAAAAGGCGTTTGATCATGTTCCCCTATTTGATACCAAAGTCGAATGTGGTCATCTCACATGGGCGCACAAAGGTCGACACACATGCATGCCAATGTCACCTCAAGAGACCACGTCCATGTCCTGTCCATGTCATGTCCATGTCCTGTCCATGTGTCCTTCGAAGAGTGCTTGTCGGGATGATCTTCACTGGACCAAGAGTGACTGGTCACTTCACGGAGGGTTTCCATGGAAATCCACAAATCTCTCTCGCTCGGACATCCACTTCCATGGCGGTCGAGCAGGAGGGCTTAGAGGTATGCTTGGATGGCCGGTTTCAGGAAGAAACCCAGAGCCTAGACATTTGATGACATTTGCTTCGCAGCTGCTTATGGGCGCAAAGAACAGTTCAATGAGGACTCTAGAATCTAAATCCTCAAAAGAGTTAGATTTGGCTCAAAGGACTGCGGGATGTAGCCAGAAACAAGCCGCCGTCATGCTCCAGCACAGCAAAAAGAGACATCACTCAGAAAACAATACACACAAACATGAAGAAAACTGGCCGCAAATGTTCTAGTAGAAACAATATATAAAGCTTTCTAGTATGCCTTTGAAGCTTCTTAGTAACTAGAAGCTTTGTTGGGAATCGTTTCGCCTATAGTAATAAAGCGTTCTAGTAATCTAGTATGAACCGTTATGAACCCATCTGTCGGATCTGTCGGCCACTCTGAGGCCGCTGCTGCAAATGTAGGGCTGGGTGACTGCGAAGAACTGCGATCACCAAGTCCTGTCGGGCGGCGGCTGGGCCAAGACCAAGAGCTACGCAGTCTCAGAAGGAGCTTCTTGTTCCTAGTAGTACGGCCAGGAGCCCCGTTCGTAGCATCCTTGCTCCTAGTAGCGATGCCAGGAGCCCCTAGTAGCTTCTTGTTACTACTAGTTCTTCAATGTTTCCTTCCATGTCAACCACCTTCAGTTCATGATTCAGCTACTTCAAGGAGCCGAAGGAGAAGCAGAACTGGAACAAGCCGCTTGGCCCTGCCTGCTGCGGTTCATGAGGGCGAAGTTCCAGGCAAATGTCCAAGAGGAGCTCTTCCCTGCACACGTATCAAATGAGGTCAGTGTAGCAAATGGATGAGCTGTGAATCGGAAGAATGATGAAATGCTGAAAAGGATTCTCTTGGAGCTGGGCTTGTGTGGAGGGAACAACTGTGTGCTGCAGCAAACCTGCAAAATGATATGCAAACGACAAATCTGAGCAGTCCGGGGAATGCAAAGCGAGCCTCTTTCAGAAGTTCGCTGGCACTGGCAGAGACCTGTACAGCCCAAACAGGCCCAAACAGGGCCAAAGGCCAATGATGGAGACAAAGGGAGAAGAGTACCACGAACAAATCACTTTTTAAGCGGCGTGACGAAGCCTCCTTGTGCTCGGAGCCAAGCAAAGAGCAAAGGTTTCGCAATGCAAAAGCATTGAAGAAGAAGACCTCTCCACAGGTGGCGGTGCGGGTGTTCCAGGTTTGAGGAATGAGCATAATCTGCGTGCCTTGGCCTGCCTGGGTAGCTGTCTCAACCGGACCACCAACTCCAAGATCTGAGAGTGCAAGGCAACCGAGAAGGGAGCAAAGCGCAAGGCAACCGAGTGAAATATCAAGCAGCAAGCAAGTGTGACAGAAAGTCTATCCACCACAACTCCAGAAAAAGGATGATGAAATCTCTTTTCGCGTCCCCCTTGAACACTCTTGGAAGAGTCTTCTCAGTGGAAGTGTCTTGCTCAACTCAATCTGGGTGCCGAAGCATCACGCACAACTCCAAGAGCTTGCTCTGGTGGATCCTATGAACCCAATCATGTGACCTCCTCCGAGGGGCCCCACTGGTCACAGGTCACAGTTGCTGTGTCGGGCCGTCCTGTGATAAGCCCCGGAGCACACCTCCAACGAGGTCTTTAATGCCTGGGCTGATTGGGTGTAAGTTTAATTAGCCTTTTCCAAGATATGAGCCATTCCGAAACCTAAGCAATTTGGTAGGAAATCTTGCAACAAGAAAACAAATCCTGGTTGCTGAAAAGCGTGCTTGTAGATGCTCACAATGGTAGTTTGAAGTTTAAGAGGTTGTAAAGGGGATTAAAAGGGTATCATTTGGGGTCGGTCAATGTTCTTGCAACTTTCTCTGACGGCTACCACCTAATTTCGATGAATCACATCCAATCAGCAGAACTCAGCTGCTGGCCCAAAGCTGACGAGGTCATCGCTGGATCTTTCCAGCGTAAGAAACCTCATGCGGAGTGGAGAAATCGCTCGTCACATGGTCGTCACACGGTCGCCACCGGGCAGCTCATTGCGAAGGAGGAAAAATAGCTCCTGACGTCCACCTGGCGACTTCTATCGCCAAGAAAGATAGAAATGGGTAGGCTTCTTGTTACTAGTAGTATATAATGCCAGGAGCTACTAGTAGATCTAGTAGCTTCTAGCTACTAGATGCTACTAGTAGCGATGCCCTACTAGTAGCTTCTTGTTTAGACTCGGATAGAATCAGCTTCCAATCTACTTGTTCACAGTGATTCCCCTTGCAATCTAGATAGGGATCACTAATTCGCCAAACAGGATCATCCGCTTCGGAATTGGTAGGCACAGGGAAACTTCTCACAGGGCTGTTGGATGAACGAGAAGTTGTGCCAGCAACACTTTGCCAACATCTGCCCGGCCCTGGCACGAGACTGAGTGATGTGTATGGCTACTTGGGTGCTCTGCTACCCTTGCTTTGCGTGCAATATTCTTTGATGGTGCGGGCTTCGTAAATGATAAGCTCATCTCCAACTCTTTTTGGTCCACCTGCATCATCCAATATGTTGTTTGTGCCATTTGTGAGCTTTGTCACTTCACTTAGCAAACTTGTTCGACGGCGTCCAAGGCTGCTTGTGCTTGGTATTGTGCCCCTGAAGGTGAAGCCAATTGACGCCCAGCGTCGGCAAAGGTGCGGTAAACGTCACGCAAGTGGCCATTGGTTCGTTCGCAGTCAATCTGGAGCCCTTCAAAGGTTTTTGGATCTCGTGAAACGGCACTCGCCCATGCCCAGGCACAGATATACCAGTGACCCCCCTCCTTAACCACGCTGGATAAATCATTACGGTCGTACCTCGCGCTAGACTCCAGGAAGGTCTTGCTCATCTTCACACAAACTTGATGGAAACCCAGATCAGAGGCTTCCCACGAACAAGAACCAGACCTTGTCCAGCCAGTTACTTCCTCGTCGCCCTGTGTACAAGGCTGCAAAGCTTTGCCAAACAAATTGACATCTTGCATCTCAAGAAGAGGACCCGCCTCCACTGCAGGCCGACCACGAAATTGATTTGATTCTCTCTGAAAGTGGAGCCCATGTGCAGCACTGCTGCCAATGTAAACAGTGGGCTTGTGAGCCGCTTGAGACCAGCATTCCATTCCCGACATCCATAGCGAGGGAAATATCAGCAAAAGGCGAGCATATCTCCGGAGCCCAGGCCTTTGTGAGTCCAAGCTCTGTTGACTTGAGACGGCCATGGCTCAAGTGAATCTCCGATTTGAGCTCGCCAAAGGCGTTTGCTGGTTCCCATTGCACAACACAAACTCTCGACTGCACACAACGCTGATCCCAAATGACAAGGGACCCAGTCATGCAATCGCTTTTGAGTGAGAATTGGGGGACAACTTTGAGCAAAAGCCCAGATTAAATGATATTAAATGTAATGTAATTACAGTAAATTACACACCACACTGATGATCCGACCACGTTCAGATCCACTTCTACCCCCTTGATTTTCCGTCCCGTCACCCACCTGTCGTAGGATTGCCCACTCGAAACTGTCTGAACGCTCTGCAGCCGGAGCCGTCGGAGCCTTGTCTTTCTTGGAGACGTGATACCGTCTCCCCGAAAGCCGCCCGAAGCCATCGAAGCCGAAGTTGAAGCTCCGAAGCCTCGGAACGCTACGTTCGGGGCTCCTGGCCGTACTACTAGGAACAAGGACGGTAACTAGGAGCAAAGGGCATCGCTACTAGGAGCAAAGACGCTGCTGTACTAGGAGCAAGGAAGCTACTAGGAACAAGAAGCTGCTGGGGTCATTGCCATTGCTATTTGTAGGTTGGAGGCCCTCAGGCCATCCGTTCCGGTCGGGCTCGGTTGGGGGGCCGAGCAGTTGAGCTGACAGAGCCTGACTCGTTGAACTCACTCCAGCCAAGAGCCTGCACATGTAGCCAGGACATGGCCACCCCAACTTTCTTTAACTCTTCGTGCCAACTTCTTGGTGTCTGAAAGTACTTTTGAAATGGCAGCTTGCATCTGTATAAGTGTATAAACTCATGTTTGTTCAAAGCATTGACATGACATGATGTGACTTGGCATATCATAAAGTGTACCAAAGCCCACGCGCGCCACCTGAGGCAAACTTTCAGCAGCTGATCACGCTCTGTGCCAAGGTAGCGGTAGAGTAGCTGGCGGCCGTTTGGTGAGTCAGGTTCTCCAGGCCACTGCCAAATGACCCTATTTGTCTTTGATGTGTGGAAACCTTGATGGACTTCTAACCCCCTATTCTGCAGTCTCTGGCTGACTTCCCTAAATTGAACCCCTTAGTCTCTTGACCTTTGCCATCACGACCGCCTGCAAGTGCTCAGAAAGCACTTTTGCCGCCACACCGTGGCGCGTCTTCGCCGTCCGTGCACCTCACGCAGAGTCAAATTCCCAATGCTCAGGGAATGTTCGTCCACTTTCATTGAAGGCAAGGCCAAAAAAAAGCCAACCAGCACCACGGAAAGGATTTCATTCCACAGATTCTTCACCAACGGCCTTCATCAAATTTGCCCTCGAGGACACAGGCTAAAGTTTCGATGACCAGCGTCACCAAGCGATTGCCGTCTCCAGACTCCTCATTGGCACTGAATAGAAATGTACGAGACAGCTCAGCAAACGCCGATAGGCCTGGTTCTCCCAGAGGGTGAACAGCTCGGCACCTGGAAGTGCAACTGAAAACTTATATAACAAGCGCCTTAAAATGAGAAAAAGAGTGGATATATATCTGTAAAGTAAGTTACAGCAAGCAAGGTTCAGTAACGAAAACAAAAGAGGGCCAGGGCCCTCACACTGCGGCGACATTTGCACATACTCGTTCAGTAGGTTTACCTCGGAAAGAGCAGGCGAACAAACACGCAAGTTGCAATGACGTGTTGTTGTCCTTTATCCTTAAATATCTTAAAATGCAATTTCAGGGAGCAAGCAAAGAAGTCTTGATGTCACGTGACAGGTAGTCAAGACTGGTTGTTCCCCAAAACAACATGGGAAGTTGAGTGAGTCCACCTATGTATGCATAAAGTCAGTTCCAGCGTGTCCATCACAAGCGTGGTCCAAATTCTTGGCACAAATGGTCTGGTCAAAGCCTAGATTTGCCAAAGACCTGCTGGTTGATCGAAGCAAGCAAAAGGCCGCCATGAAAGCATCGTGCAGAGACCCCGCAATAGATGCGGGAGGGAGAAAACACCTTCAAGAAAAGAAAACGGAAACAAAGATAAAGACTTGCGACAATACAAAAAAGCGAAAACCACAGACAAGTAGAAGAAAAAGACATCTACGTCTTTGGGCCAGCTGTCCAACTCCAGAGCCCCCCTCGACCGGCAGTGCCTGGCCGCTTCGCAGCTCCGCACATAGCCCGGCCAACGCCGCCTCAGCGGTTTGCTTCTGACCTGCGCTGTGAGCCACACATGAAACAAATGGTTTTGTGCACACGTCATCGTGTCAGTGCTTCCTTGCTTTTCGGAAGGTGAAAGACTGCATGTGTTTTGGTGGCCTTCCACTTTGATACACTTGCTGGACCAAAAGCTTCATGTGAATCTTGGTATCTGTGACACTGACCAGGCTGCAGGTTCTGAGCCAGGATTCGTGCTCGTTCTGCACCTGGCCAACATGAATGCTTTCACCGGATGTAGTGCATTTAAAGAGGTGGTTTGGACATTTCAAAGTGTTCTGTTGACCTTTGCGAGCTTTAAGCCTGAGAATCTATATTGACTTGGCACTTGCTCTTCAAAGACATGTCACGATGCACTGTCCATCTGTAAGTCAGCAAGTGACAAGCACGTCAACGAAAACAGGCACAGGAAGAACCATGGCTCTCCCAACAAGGTGCCCCAAAGCCCACGCAGTCTTGGATTCAACGTTCCGTTTGGAGTGTTTTGCTCCATACCCCTTTGCAACATCTTGATCAAATCTCAGTGCTGTTGCTAGTAATTATGTCACTGCTGTGAGGGTGCTGCTGGAGGTAAAGGATAGTTATGCTATGTTATGCTGCGTAATGCCTGAGGCAGCAGAAAGGTTGGTAGAGTGGGATGGTGTAACAATGATGCAGCTACTCCAAAGAATTCAACGAATCTCCAAATCATGACCGTCACAAGCAAGTCCAGCAATGTCTGGCACTGTGGAATGTCTGGCTGATCTCCATTCGGCTGAAGGTCTCCGTTCGCGGTCTTTTCCACCGAAATTCGCTCCAACGACGACTCCAACGCCCCCAGTTTGCGCATGCTATGAACAAGTCGGCCGCCGAAATTCGGCGCCCAGTTGCGCAGCTCCCCGAAGAGCTTGGAGGCCAAGCCCAACACCAAAGGCTGCCAGGATGCTTGGAGTGTAGCTTCACTTAATGAACGTGAGAAGCTGGGTGGGAAGTGAAGGATTCATCAGGAAGAAATCATTCCCTTTCTGGCTAGATAGAGATGTAGCCCCAAACCCAGATCAAGTATGAATTCCCCTACTTGCAAAAAGCTTTGAGCGTTGGCATAGAGCAGCCTGTGGGTGGCGTGCATTAGCTAGGCTGCAAGCAAGGATTCGTGTCCTCTCTGCAAAATCACTTTGAATCCAGAATGAAAGGAAAGGATCCGTGTCCTATCTGCAAATCAAGTTGAATCCAAAATGATTTCCACACAGAAGCAATAATTTGACTTGAAAGAAACGTACAGTACCTCAGCTCGCAACTATGGTACCCTGTATGAGGACTGCCGGTCAGCACCCCCATTGGTGACATTCGCACAAACAACTACGTCAAATCCACGTCAACCATAGCCACTGCCTCAGCTGCAGTCACAAGATTCTTGTTGCACAGGAAACCACTTTTGTAATCAGGAATTACCCAATAGCCCAGTGGCGTCGTTCTGACGCCACTGCTGCTTCTTCTCAATCAGCCAAATTATCAAATTATGAAATCATATTCATTCTCTATCTGCTTCAGGGTGAAAACGTCTCCTGGTACTGTTTCTAATCAAAAGCAGTTATGATGTCGCTCTCCAAGTCGCCTCATCCCACCCCCAATGGGTACAGGACTGCATCCTTTGTAGCCCGCTTCCCGCTTCGCTGCCAGAGCAAGGTGTCCATCCCAACAGCATACAGCAGGAGACTTAAAGGACAAAGAAAAAAATATACATGTAACCTCAAGTGATCCCTTCCTGACGGGTCACTGTCAAAGCCCGTCAACTAAAGCAGACATGCTACGTTTTGAGCAGCAGCTGCTGTAAGGGCAGGTGTGGAAGGCAGGCGAGTTAACCTGGCTGGACCAAGGATTTGCAACTGCGTTGTTGCAGCCGGAGACAAGCGGCCAGGCCTTGGAGATGCTGGGTGACCAGGTGGTTGTGCAGGTGCAGGAAGTGGAGGCTGTGAAGACTGAGATGCGGGTGGTGGTGAAGTGCCTGGTGCAGCCTGCCAGTTCTAACCCTCAAATGGACCTTCAGAACATGGGATCTCAGTCCTGGTGCGTCAGCGGAGCTTTGGCAAGCTTCACTAGGTGAGGAGCCTCATGGAAAACAACAACACTTCTCCGTTTCGGCCTTCCTAGCCTTTCAAACGCTTGAAACTGCATGATTATTGCCGTGCCAATTGAAGCCAATGTACATGTTTGCCTTTCGCACAATGTGACAATGTGGTTGTAATGAAGAGATTCAATTCAATCCTTGAGGTTGGAAATCGCTAAACAGTGGTGGCTAGACTTCAACAATGGTGGATTTCCTTGTTGTGAACGCCAACCGCCACGGCCGGCTGAGGCCTCTTGGGAGATTGCGGAAATGGCCTTCACCGTGCGTCCCACAGCCTGCTCAGGGCCCATGAGACGACTCAGGGCCCAGTGGTGACTGATGAGACGGCCCAAGGAGATGACTCGCATCTTCAACTGAGAGCGATGGCCTTCAACCTACTAGCAATGGCCTCCAACCTAAAAGTGATTCTGTGAAAAATCAACCAAATCATTCAATTCGTATCTTTCCGCACTAGTACATGCACTTTGGAGGACGAGCACCAAAACGCAAAGAAAACTTTGGCCTTTGCAAGGGACACAAGTTCAACATCAACTTGTCCATCCTGTGCAAAGAAAGTCAGCAATCATGGGAGAAGTCATTGATGGACCCTTTCAATGAAGAGTTTCACAATGGGATATCAGATTCTCAATTTCAAACAAAAAATAGAGTTTGCTTGGGTAGATTTAAAGCGTGCACACGTTGACCCAGGAGCTTTATCATGCTTTATCGGCTTTCGCGATAAAATATTGTTGTTTCTGTCACAAAACGGCTCTGCTCGCATCACCTGTGTATCTTCTTGCACAAAAAACATCAGTCAGTGGGTTGGGCCCCCCATCGGTTGTGTAGGCTTCCTGCAGTTTTTGATATCTATACTATACTATACTATACTATACAAAAACTGAAGGAGACGGGAACTTCCCCTTGGTATGCTTCATCAACCCCTTGGTGCTCCATCTGCACCTCCTTCGGTTCTTCAGTACCACCATCCCCTATCTTCACCAGAAACACCAAATTCAGTTCCACCAGCAGTAACAAGTGCCACGCTAGTAGTAACAACCAGTCTCAAACCGTCTCAGTCCTTAGGTCTCAAACCGTCTCGTCTCTCCTGGACCATCTCCTCCAGCAGCTTCTGCCGATGCCGCTCCGAGCGGAGCGCCTTTTCGCCCAAGGCCCGGCTCTTGGCCTTCTCCTCCGACAGCAGCAGCCGCAACCTGCTGCGGTTTCCAAACAGCAAAGATCGCAACGATCTGAATCCTCTACCCTGGTGCCAAGCCTGGCACTGTCAGAAGCATCACTTCCAGAGGCGGCCACCTCCAAGGTGCATCAACTCATGAGTTCGCACTGAATTTCGAGAGCTCAGCCTTTCCGTGTCTCGGTTTTCAATGCCTCCAGCTCAGCTCTGTCAGCTCTAGCTTCAGCCTCGGGCAGTGGCAAGGCATAGGTTCAGCCTTCCATAACTAACAGGTATCAATGCATCAAGGTCCTGACACATGCCTGCTCTTCCGAGATCAACGCTCTGCGCAGGCGCTGCACCTTTGTTGCTGTGGCCATGCAACTAGAAGCAACTAGACAAGCTAATGAATTAGTCGGGCTGTTCATGGCACTCAAACCACTTAAAGTATCAGTCAACTGCTTTCGCACCTCTGCTTTGGCCTCCTCGGCCTCCTCTACCGCTGCAGCTGCTTTCTCATCAGAAATAGCATTCACCTTAGCCCACCCTGGTGTCGTATGCGCTTTGGAAGCAGAAACCGAAGGACCACAGGGACTCCCTGGTATCGTCCGAGGGACTGCGGCACGGCGTTCAGCCGCCTGCAAGGCTGGACAAGACTTTCTTCAGCAAAGCCACCAAATGTTTGGACTTCCGCCGATGGCCTTCGACTCGGAGCTGGATTCCTCGGACATCTCAGGCCTGACAGCACGTTTAGACCAAAAGCTTCGCCAAAAATAAGCAATTGCATTGCAACAGTGACAACAGAAGCTTTTGCGAGGCAGGCAAGTCACAATCCCTCACTCGGTCTAGCGTTTTTGGTGAGTGGATCCATTTCACAGCCAACTGCAAAGGGTCAGAATTCTGGCGCTCTGCCGGACAATCTGGAACTTTTCTGAGCAAAGGGCAACGGCAGGATTCCCCCGCTTGCTCTGCCAAAAGAGCAGCCACCTGCTACTGGAAAGAAACGGAAAGAATGGGATATGATCGGTAGGTAGAGCTTCTGCTGCAATCCTTGAGTGGATTCTGGTTGCTATTGCTTTCCTACTTCAGGATCCGTATCAGCGTTTGTTCACATTGCCTCCTGAATCCATGTGCCCTGCGGGTAGGTCCTGTATGCTGGCAAAGATTCATGCACAAAAACTCAAGAGTACCGTCGTCCATCCATCAGTAGTGTCCAGATCGTGTTGGATGCTCAAGTGTCAGCCATGCTACAAGGTGACTGTCCTCGGAACCAAGACTAGCTTCTTCCCATGCATCCTCGCCGAATGGGTTCCTGGAGGATCACATCATCGGGATCATTTCAATCTGAACTCAAAAGCGACGCCCTTTGTTGCTAGTAGCCTTCTTGTTACGAATGGCGATGCCAGGAGCTACTAGTAGCGTCCTTACCCCTAATAGCGATGCCCTTTGTTACTAGTACATTTGTTGCAGAACTGAAGGTCTGTTTCAGCAAAGCAAAGAAGACTGACATACAAGTGCCAAAAGGAATACAGTGAATCATGGACTAATGGCCATAGAATCAGCATGAGTCAGCCAGGCCAAAAGAATTCCTCTGACTGGATTTCTCGTGCACAAGAGTTGACCCACCCAAGGCCTCGAATTGACTCGAGCCTCGGATACAACAAGAAAGCATGGAAAGCCGTGGAAGCGTCAGCAGTTTCTCCGAAGTCCTGCTGCTGTCTAAGCGGCCCTGGTCGGTGGCGCAAAGGACACTGCGGTGGCTCTGCGTCCAGACAAATGCTCAAAAGGCCTTGGATTGAAGTCATAAAAATCAACACAAAGAAATCCCCTGACTCACATGTCACATGCAGATCAAGTTCACTGACAAACCCAGCGATTCTGGCCCTGATTAAAAAAGAATTGACACGAGAGGCTTCTCCAAGAAGTCGCTCTGCGGCGCTCTAAAAATCTGAAAAAAAAATCAATTTACACCGGTGTATATGTTTGTCATGAATGCCACCAGCATGGCTCATCAGGCTCGTCATCTTCGAAGGGATTCAGAGGAGTCTCCTCGGCCATCGGACTCTTGAACGCCTGACACTCCAAAGAAGTGACCCCTCGGATGGCGCGCGAGCCATTTGCAAAAGAAGAAGTCATATTTAAGAATATCTAAGTTATTTAAGTCAGTTTCAAGATGTTGAATCTGTTGTGTTGAACTTTCTTCACAAGATTAAAGTGTGTTGGTTGAAGGTTGCCAGCCTCATCTGGCTCTTCAGCAATGGAAAGCATTTCAGCGGAGCCCGTTCCATCCTGAGAGTCGCTATAACTTTCTTCACTCACAGCCGTTCCGGTTCAGTCGCTATGACGCAAGTTTCCTTGCTAGGTCTATTAGGTTGGAGGCCATTGCTAGTAGGTTGGAGGCCATTCCTATGACGGCATTGCTAGGAACCAAATCTTGAGTGAGAGCGCTTCTTCAAGGAAGCTCCCCTCACTGTCACAGCTTCCTTGAAGAAGCGAGAGCTATCCTGCGTCCTACCTAGAAACTTACTTAAGCTACTAGCTATCTCTCTTCTACCTCTTCTAGCGGCCTACCTCCCGGGTTTTAAAGAAGAAAAGAACGTTCTTTGCTCACTTTGCTCCTGCAACTTCCGCAGTTCCGTCGCATCCCCAAAGTCGGCGGTGGGCCGGTGCACGCGCACGGTCTTCGCAGTGCCTGAACAAGGGGAGATCAATCCAAAGAAATCTGAACAAAATAGGAACAAGAAGCTACTAGGAACAAAGGGCATCGCTACTAGGAACAAGGACGCTACTAGGGGCTCCTGGCCTTACTACTAGGAACAAGAAGCTACTAGGAACAAAGAAGCTATTAGGAACAAGTGCATCGCTACTAGGAGCAAGTGCCTTACTAGTAGTAACAAGAAGCTATCAGAAACTAGAAGCTACTAGGAACATAACAACCGTTCGTTGCCTGGAGACCTGGAACTTGCAGCTTCTCGCA